GGTTTTCGGTCTGAGATGGAGGGGTTGCTTCAAAGCATTTTTGCTTTCCCTGTCTGGGCAGTGACTTAACTCGTCGTGGTCGCATGTCCACAGCTTTTCGCAAGCATTTTGTTAAAGGCTTTGGAAGGGTGTCATTGAAAGCGCGTGGATTGTGTTGCTAAACCAAATCAGTGACCTGATAGGCTCTATGTGCACCCAATACAGATGCACCGACGCTGATCACAAGCGCACTTTTACAGCTATTAAGTGGCGCACCCAAGTACCGGCACGACTTGGTTTCACGTGCGTTCCAGAATAGTTCAATTTGATTTTGAGTCTGTCGTGATACTGGCATCGATGTCACATGCGGCACATGTGCTCGTCTCTTATTCACTTACGAGAGCTGAATTTCTTTCAGACAGCAACCATCCAGTCGGTCTTTCGCGTGTCTGGAGCAGTGGGGGCTGCCTTACTTCTCCATGGATGATCTTCCGCTTACGCGCTTGGTGCCACCGCTGTCAACCTCGGGTCAGAGATATGAAGGTAGCCACTAACCTCTGCCCTTGCGAGACCCACCATGTGGCAAACTGGGCACAATAGGGCCGCCATTACGAGCTATCCATACCAGGTTCGGATGTGCGGCTCCAGCCCTTGCGAACCTGCTGGTTGCCATGCAACTTGTGACGCAGACTATGCCACTGCCAGCTCTGGGGGCATTCAGTGTCAATATTCCTGAATGGGCCCACCGCCCTTCGGCGAAGGGGGGCTTGAAGGCCCCCTTCAAGACCCCTTGAAGGGGGCTTGAAGGGCGTGACCCTTCACGGTCCCTTCAAGGGGGTCTGAAGGGGACTTCGACCTTCGTTGAAGGGGGGTCGAACCCTTGAAGCCCCCTTGAAGGGGGGCTTGAAGGGGGGCTTGAAGGGGGGCTTCAAGGGGGGCTTCAAGGGGGGCTTCAAAGGGGCTTCAAAGGGGGCTTCAAGGGGGCTTCCGCTGCTCGGCGCTTGGAGGAGCTCTGCAGGCGGGCCGCTTTCGCACTGGTCTTATGCCGTCTTCGTCAGTTACTTTCCGTCACTTGTCAACAACTGTTGCGTCTCCTACGGAAGGTTGTTTTTCTTTGCTTTTTCTTTCTTTTATTTCTTCGCAAAAACTCCCCATAAGCGGTTTCGTGTGGTCTTTTTTTCTTTGGGCAGGGACTGGTCATTGGTAACCCTTTTTTCTTGTCGGTAAGCCCTCAAAACAGTGGGTGGGTTGTTTTTCTTTGTCTTTTCGTTCTTTTCTTTCTTCGCAAAAACCTCCCATAAAGCGGTTTTTTGTTGTCGGCAAGCTTCTAAAAAAAAAGTGGAGGGGTTGTTTTTCTTGTCTTTTCGTTCTTTTGTTTTTTTCGTCGCAGAGGGAAGGGGGACCGCCGCCAGAAAAAACAAAAAAATCTGGAGGAGGGGCGGGGGGGGGCAGTGCAATAAAAAAACAAAAACGTCCAGTCCTCCTTCAAGCTCCCCTGCCTCCAAGCACCAGGTCCCTGCTTCAGCCTCTTCAAAACCTTCAAGGCCCCCTTCAAGCCCCCCCTTCAAGCCCCCCGCAGCAACTGCAAACTACTGCGATTTCCGAGACAGGGACCGCAGATGTCAAGAAGAACTCGCCTGCGAATGAGCTTCAAGCACATTTTTTTTTAGACCAATCCACCAAGACACGCAGCAATATGCTTACAGAGGATGATATGGGGTTTTTAGGCGTCAGTCCGCTTCTTGAGGCATCGCAGCTTGTCAAGTAATGGTAGTGCGCACTTGAATGACAAGTCGCACAGCCACTTAGAAGTCAGTCAGAACCTGGAAACTATAGCTGCGCAAGTAAGCAGCAGCGACGATATTCCGCGTAGAAATGACAAGCACAAGGCTAGCAGCCCTGTACTCCTGTGAACCAATGGTGCGAAGTACCTGCCGGGTAGCAAGAGAGCACCGGTATCAACTCGGTATCGACTGTACGCACACACAAAAAAGAAGAAGAAGCACAAAATCGCTTTTAGGGGCTGAAACGAAAGAAATCAAACTGTGTTATCGAAAAAATATCCATCAAACGCTTTCCAAAAGCCACACGATATCGCCTCAGGGGGCAAAAGCAAAGAAAATAAGAATGATAAATACAAGTGAAAACACACACAACAAAGGATTTTTTTTCCGGCCTCCAACTTGTCTTTTTTCTGGCCTCTACTTGGACTTTATCGTCGCAAAGCTCGGCTTAGACAGCGTGCACCGACGAGCTTCCCATCCGAGACATCGCCAAGGGTTGCGCCGCCACCCTGCCCCAAGAAAGCTTGTTTTGTTTCCGATGCTTGCTTACTGCAAGCTTCGTCTGGACTTGAGTTTGGCCTGACCATCGGAGCACAGAGGCGGTAGCGCGTCTCCACTGGGCAGAGGTTGGAATTGGTGCCAAGAAAAGAGTTTGTTGGCAGATTGCAACCTTCTACATACAAGTCCTACGGTTGTGCGTCTCGTAGTCAATACCAAGTCGACACTGGTCGGCTGGTCTTTCCAAACCGCGAGATGTCTTTTTCCAGACCTGACGAACTTTTTGCATTTTGTTCGACAGCCGCGCAGGTTATCTGGTGCGGAAGGCGCAAGCTGCTACGCAACAGCTTAAATGTGGGACAGATAGTCTGCTGCGTGTTATTTTGATGCTGACGTGATGTCGGTTTGCTCCACTCACACCCGTACTTGGACCAGGTTCATTCTTGACACCACCTGGGACAGACGCTCCGTTCTCCAACTAAATGCCAAAAGTGTGTAAGAAAACGGACGGAATCCAGTTTCGCACTGGAACCGAGACCGAGACCCATCCACGCCAGAAAAAGTAAAAAGTACGATGTTTTGTGCTTGCTGCTTTGAAGCAATCTTGCTGTCGTCTCTGACTCGAATTACTGCTAAAGTTTGCACATTGCAGCCACTGACGTCTTTGTTTGAGTTAAAAGTTTGTTGGAGAGCGTTGATGACGCAGTCATGGCAAAGCCGCTTGAAAAGTGCCTGTTTCGCTTGTTTGGAAGGAAAGAGAGACTGATTAGGCAAAAGATTGATGAGCATTTTTCTTTGTGTTTTTTTTGGTCCAGCACTTCGAACAGCATGTTGGGTTTAAACTTTTTGGTGGTTCTGTTTTCTTGTGTTGCATGTATCAGACCTGCTGTTGCACATCACAGAAAGCCATGATTTTTTGTTTTTTTTTTTGTGCGAAGTTTGCGTAGTGACTTATCAACATTTGCAATGATTTTTAAGTTGTTCCATTGTTGTTTGTGGATGCATCGTTTTATTCTCCAAGCTTCCATGTTCTTCATGTCTGACGAAAAGATGCGTTGATGTGTGACTTGGGTATTCTTGTGGCAAGCTGTCAAATTAGCATTTGGTGTTTTGCTCAAAAGGGTACTGGCAGAACATAGCGCAAAAATGTGGATGCAACTGGCGACAACGTTTCTCCATGCGTTATGTGAATTAAGGAATTCGAGGTCGGGTTTCTCCCTACGCAGTAGCGTGGATGTTGAGTTTGGATTGTGATGGTGCATCCGATATGTCGCAAGTCAAAATTGGGCAGCGGCTCCAACCTGAATCTTTTCAGTCCTGTCTGTTGCATGCACATCGTATGCAAGCCGGCATCATGTTCGAGGACGTGCTGGGACTTGCGATCGGTTTCAAGCCACATGAAGCAAGCTGCAATTTAGGACGCTCCCGCCATCGCACACAAGTTCAGCACCTCAAACGAATTTCAGCCAAATGCAGCCATTCCCAGGATTTGCCACAAAGTAATCACTAGCACTGCATGCTCATCGTCGCAGGACAATGAAGAGATGGAGGCGTTTGGGGCTCATGGTACAGGGTAAGCTGCTTTGTGTGGTTGCGCAAGGTGAGTGATTGTTGACACTTGACAGATGAACAGTAGCGACACATGCTTGGTACCCGCTTCCAGTGGCTGGACAGGTTGGCGTTGTGAGTGCCAAGATTGCAGAGTGCGCCTTCTATCTTTGTGCTTTGCCAGTTTTATGAACTTGGAAGTGTAAGCTCAGAGGACGTTAACTTGCACATGTTTGATCCTGGGTTACTTGCGGTTGGTGCCGCTGTCGCTTGCAGTTCAAGTTCATCTCCGGAATCGTGTCGTAATCATTAATGCACCATGGTTCCTCTCGTGGAAGCACAGAGTTACAAAGTATATCACAGCACCAAGTGGAGCACAGAAGTGCTCGTCTGTGTGTCAATGGTTGGACTGCTGCAGAGCTTATGCGTTTGGGATGGCCGTTGTTGTGCGAACCTCAGTCAGTTTTCGCTCAGCTGTGGACTCAAATGATGCCATCAAAGCGCCGGGGCTTGCGGTTACTTTTTCTTCGGGGAAGTTTCGAGCAAATGAGCTGGTGAGGTTAAGCTTGGGAGCGGCCACATTTGGTGCTGCTTCCTGGGCTTCTGAGGATTGGATCAGGCGCAAAGTTGCAGGTCATGGATGCTGCTTTTGATGGACTTTCGACAGCCTTGTTTGTTTTCTGAGTTCTGTGTAGCTTTTCGTGGTTTTGGTCAGCATACCTCAACTCAACAGAGGACGAACAAAATAACAACAGGAAAGAAGAGGGAACCACTTGAGCAGGGAAAGAGAAGCACATGAACAACAGAAACAGTGGAGACGTAAACCAGGCGAGTCAAGAGCCATGAGAAGGATACCACAAGAAAGGCAGAGCCAGCGAGAGAAGGAGTAAGCAACGGAGCAATATATGCAGAAAGAATCAAGGCAGAGAGTCCCACAGAAAGGATCATTCCATTTGCAACACTACCCGTCCCTTGGCTTCCTTTTAAAGCAGGGCATGGTCGCACAGCATGGTCGCGTTCGTCTGATGTCCATTCAATATTTTGGTAAGGGGGAGAGTGGAATCATCGGGTCAGCTTCCCGTCAGTGTTTGTTTGCAAAGGCGTGCGGTGCCGACGCCGGATCACTCAGCAAACTGAGCCGTTTCGCTTGTTGCAATCATCGGGCCCAAGTTGTTGGCTTTGTGACTGTGCATGTCCGGACAGGCCCACGTTCGGGGTGTCTGGGGTAATCAAGTCGAGTTCCGTGCACGTTGGAGCACCAAAACTAGTAAAAGCCAGGGTCCGTTTTTGATTCCGTGCCTGTTTGCCAGGGCTCGTGCAGATCCGCCTCACTGCGAGCATGATGTCCGTTGCATTTTCGGGCTTCGGTGCGGGGCTGATTGATGCAACATTGGATGGTTGAAGACAGCTGAAAGCATGCTCACAGGTCGGCAGACCTGGTTGCCCAACTACGACCGGATCCATTGCATCCGTGGGAGAAGGCGGCTTGAACCGAAGTTGCTGCTTCAGTGTCCAAGTCTCCGCTGCAACGGCATGCTAAGGCACCTCCGAAACTGCACCTTTGTGGCGTAGCGTGGGCAGATCTGCGAGCCTCCCCGGTGGTTCAAGGGCCGATGCCTGCTTCATCCGAGGCAGCACAAGTAGTGAAATCTAGCCAAGCCTTGCATCTCCAGGATTAGATGCCCTGCTGCCTTGGAATTCACGTGTGCAGGGTTTGAGCGACGCATGTCAGGCAGTTGTGGCACGCAGCGCTCAGCTCTTCGCACGGACGTGTTGCTCGAGCCTCGAGAACACTGCTGGCGGTGAGAGGCTTGTTGACGATCATCCTTTCTATTCTGACTCATAGTATTCTTAGTACTACGTGTACTACTCTTGTTATCATTGTTGCTGCTGTTATTGTTGTCGTTGCTGATGCTGCTGGTGCTGCTGGTGCTGCTGGTGCTGCTGGTGCTGCTGGTGCTGCTGGTGGCGCTATGTGGCGCTATGTGGCGCTGGTGCTGCTGGCGGTGCTTGTGGTGCTGAGTGCTAGTGCTGCTGCTGCTGCTGCCTCTGCTGGTGCTGCTGGTGCTGCTGGTGCCGGTGCTGGTGCCGGTGCTGGTGCCGGTAGTGCTGGTGCAGCTGGTGCTGCCTGTGCTGCATGTGCTGCTGGTGCAGCTGGTGCAGCTGGTGCTGCTGGTGCAGCTGGTGCTGCTGCAGCTGCTGCTGCTTTTGCTTGGCATCTTGGATTGTTCGCTGAGGTGCTTCAATTCTGGTGTCCGCGGTTGCAGCTGTGGCCCCAGGCATGCGCTTGTTTTGTGCCTTGGGAGACGAGTCAAGACAGCTCCGGGCTATGGAGCCTTACATCTTGTGTCGCCGAGGCAGCGTGCTTGGCTGCAATTGCATGCACGTCCCTTGAGGTCCGCAGGTGCCGGCAGCTGGGTTGTCGGGTAGTCGGGTGATGCTGATGTCAATCAAAGCGAAGTTGCCCTGAGTCGCATGGAGGCTGCTGGAATGCCTGGCCGTTGCCCTCCTATTTGCCCATGCCCTCATGACCTTTGGTATGCTTCTATCTTTGTCCACCTGGTGCTCCGTGCGGATGAAGCGGGCTGTCAGCAGACTGTGGCATTTTGGTTTCTGCAGGGTTTACGGCTTCTTGTAACTATGTTTGCCCACGCCTTGGGCATACCACCATTTCTCGAGGCCATGGATCGCGCAAGTGCTGTTCGTGACGACTGGGGGCGAAGCCGCGATTTGGCCACACCACCTAGAGGTGCTCGGAATCCCCTTTCAGCGTGGTTGTGGGACCGGGTCTTGGTTGCAAAGAACATCCCGATTCCGCCAGCCCGAGCCAGGTCTTGCCTGGGCCTGCTGGCGGCTGCTTCGGCTTAGCAGGATTGCTGAGCTTCGCGGCCGGATTGCGGCTCATTGGCGGGCAGGATTCGAGCTGACATGGGCGCTGAGGGACGTGGTAAGAAAAATCTGCTAGCGACTTGGCCGTCCTTTGAGCCCTACCTGCCTTGCACCCTGCTGCGAGGAATCTTGGTTCGTCTGGGAGCATGTTTGGGGAGTTGTATTTCATGGCAGGAGACGGTAGATGGTGCCAAGACCCAGATCGTGGCCGAGGCGACCGCAGCTCCCAGTCCCAGTCGACCCCAGTCCACGCTGAGCTCTGCAAGCTTTGGAGGTCCTGGAGCCTGCGGAGCCCAAGTCCCACGAGCCTGAAAGGCCACGGCCGAGCCAGGCACGACACCGCGCAAACAGACGGGTCCCACAATCGCCCTCTGCTGAATGTCTGGTCCACTCCAGTCATTTGCCACTTTTGGACGGGCTTTTGATGCAGATTCTCGCTTTTGATGGACGGCATTGCTCCCAGTAGCCGAGATGTTTCGCAGGACAAGCTTCTTCAGCTTGTGGTCGCTGCCAGAGCTTCTCTACCTCACGTGCTTTCTCGAAAGATGTCGAGAGGACGTTGCTCACATGCTGTATTCAGCACAGCTTCCGTAGTCCGAGGCGCAAAGACGCGGTGACATTGTTCGCAAACAGCGGCGATGGGTTCCGAGCTTAGGGCAGCTTCAGCCGTCACAGCACGCGGCCACGTGCGGTCTTTGGATCGGAATCTTCGCAGCCCTTCTGGAAGCGCGCACCAGCAAAGGCCGATACCCTACTAGTCGGCCAGATCCTTGCAGTGCCCGTTACGCCGTAGCTGCTCCCGCAGTGCCCTTCTTGGAAGCTTGGTTGAATGAAGCAGTTGGTCCGAGGATGTGCGGGTTGCTTCGCGTTGCTTCTCCTTTCCAGCCTTTGGATTGTTGGTTTGCACCTCAGTATGGGGTATGGTTGACACATGTGTGAACTCTCTGTGAACCTGTAACGGCTGGATCCAATTTCGACTGAGTCGAGCTGATGAGGTCAAAAAGCGGTCGATCTCGGGGCTTTGGGCTCAGACCATTTTTCGGCGCTTTGACATTTCCTTTCCTCTGCAAGGTGAAGGATGCCTTGAACAAGCCAACTTGGAGACGGGGCAGGCACAGCCAGCCCGGACACTCCCTTCGCGGAATGCAGAAATTTCTGCAAGCCTCTTCTTGAGACATATAGCAAGCGTGCCCAAACCAGATTCCAGGCTCAGCTTAGTAATCGAGCGTATTTCTATATGTGTACTGTTGTTTTGTGCAGGCATCCGGGCGGCGTTCCGTGGCGCTCCGAAGATTACCGAGAGGCTGCTGGCCCAGCATGTAGGGTCGCTGAAAGGCATTCCTTTCTTGCAGGCTTGGCGTGATGTGAAAGCTGCCAGTATATGCGCGGGCCTCACGAGACGAAGTTGCAAGTTGCAGCGGACAGTGTTAGGGTGTGTTGTTTCTGGATGTCATGCTTTTCGTGGTTGAGGCACAGGGATCCGCACTGCTATCAAGATCGATGACTTTCGCAAATCGGCCTGGGGGCCCAGCATGTTCGTTTCTTTCGAAGAGATTCAGTGCTTGTTCCTATTTTCAAGATGATCGGTGACTTCATTTCTTTGCACGCTCTGCTCTGTGATGCAGTTCATTTCCATGCAAGACCCCTTCTGGGCCTGATACATTGCTTCCAACCCCCGCTTCGGCGAGAGATAGGTTGTTGCAGCTACAACTAAACAATATGATCGCTGACTGTCCGGCGATCGTTGAGATGCAAGAACTTGCATTTCACAGGGATATGTCCAAGGTGCAGCAACACGCGGATGAAACCGCTCAGCAGCTGAAGAAGCGGTTCCGAAGTGCACGCGATCCCAATGGGCAAGACGACTGAAGAGAAAGCGAACTTCTGCAGTTTCAATCTGGCAGCAGAGGAGCGAGATGAAGGAGGCCATAGGCGCGCATTAGGAAGAACTGGTCAAGGTGTACAGCAGGTGGCCGGCTGTTTGGAGCTGCACGAGCACGGGAACTGCTTCCGTTGCAGTCAACCCTGCATGCTTCACAGTTCAGACGATGTTCCGTCTGGTAGCAGGTGTAGCGGAATCTTCGAAAGGTGTTCGCGTGTGTCCGGGGTGAGGAGGTGCGGTTCGTGGAGCAATGTGGTGCGAGCGGTCTTGCAGATGCGTGAGAAAAAAGGAGGCAACATTTTGTTGGACCGAGTTAGCCCCTAGCCGCTGCATCTGGCAAGCCGATCTTGTTCATTCTCTGCAATGTGCAATGACATTCGCAGTTTGTCTGTTGCCTGATTGTTGTTGCAGGTACGAAGAATTTGTAGAAAACGTTCTCAAAGCCAACCATCGGCTTGGGGCTTATTCGGAAACTGCCCGCACCGTGAGCATTGCTCTCCAAACCAGTTCCGTCCATCGCCCAGGAAATGCCTGCTGGATTGGCAAGAAGCAGCAGACGTGGTTGAGCAGCCGTCATCTCACTTGCTTGCTGTAGACTCCCCCTTCTCTTCCACAATGACAGCTGCTGGCAAGTGCACCAGCTTTGCTTACCACAACAAGGCAATGGCTGTCTGTTGAGTGAGCCTCGAGGTGCAAAGACTTGCGACGGGATATCTCAATGCTCATCAAGGACGGGTGTTTTTGCACAGATCTTGAACATTCCGTGTCCGCACGGACGTTGTTGCTGCTTGCAATGAACAGGAGGACGTGTCCGAGCTAGAGACCACTGTCGAGCTGGGCTGTCAGCTGGGACTTCAGACCACGTCCTGCAGAAGAATATGCCGCTAAGAAGATTTCGACACGACTCAAGAGAGCATCAGGTTCTTCGTGAAAGCGTTGGTTCCGGACACCAGCTGCATCCTGGTGGACGTAGGTGCGATGCACAGAGCCCCTTGGCCCGTTGGCTGCGCCTGCTGAACGCTGCTGGGGCCAGGTCTGAACTTTCGGCTTGAGATGCCACTGGCGGATGCAGAAGCATTTCTGGAAGACAAGGAACACGATGCAACCTGCAAGCACAGCACAGCTAGCCAGTAGCTGTTTGGTGTACACGCAGAGTTCGGGTCGTCTTTCTTGCTCAGTTATGTGTCTTTGGGTACGTAGCCAAAGCCCTGTACTTGCGAAGGAGGCACATCTTCGGAATGGCTTGGAGTTGAAAAGCAAGCAGGTTGCCAAAGTGAAGGTCGGGAGGGTCCCCACATGACAGCAGCGTTTCTTGCTCCCTTGGCACATTGCTGGGTTTGGCTGATACTCAGCTGGTTCTCTTCAATCAGGAACCGTTTGCCAAGACAGCACGCAGTAGCCGGAATTCGGAAGGGATAATCCAGATGGCTCGAGTTGTTCATTCGCTGCCTTGCACAGGCAGATATCCATGAAGCTTTGCACCTCATTGATTTGATGACAAGCCTCCAGTCGGATCCTTGGATGATTCCGGCTGAGCTTGGCACCCAAAAAGCAAGGGCTCAGGGAGGAATGCTTGCTTCGACTGTTGAACTAGCGCCTGAGACCGTGCTGACCTGTTTGCCAGAATCCTTAGTATTCTTTTTTGGCTTCATCTCAGGCACGGCCAAAGTCCTGCGATGCTCGAAGTCGCAGGAAAATGCTTGTGAGGAAGCTTGCCTTCGCAGAGCAGGATTGGGCTCTCCCCTCTTCACAACGTGCAGCGCTGGTGCATTTCGAAAGTCGCGCGAAGCCGGATTTAGTGAGCCACACAATGAGCAAGAGAAGGCAAGCCCGGTTTTGTGACATGAAAAGTCTGCTGTTGACAAACTCACACACTGAGACACGTAGCTCGCGAGGCATGCAGCAGCAAGCCACCATGATCGCAACAGAATGCATGCCCCCTCGCAGGTGTTTTACGTTTGCTTAGTTATTTTTACTCACGGTGGGGCGCCATGGCTGCCGTGGCGTGGATGCCAAACCAGCCAGAGGCGAATGTTGCCTTCCGTGCAGGACATCCTGCCTTTGATTTTAGTGCTTTGTGCGGCTTGCCAGCGCTTCGCGAGGAGGGATCTCGCCTCAGCAGCAGTCACAGGTCGTGAGCCCACAGACCGCTTCGTTTCTTCGGCACAACAAAAGCATGGCCATAGGCTGAAACGATGGTGTTGCTAAGATACTCAGCTTGTTTTTGCGAGTGCGGGGCTCGCGAACCGAGAGCAGCTGACGCGGTCTGTTGCGGCCAGGTGCCCCCTTCTGCAGTGCAGGGCCGTGCGTGCCTTGATCTCAGGCTTTCTTTGGATGTCGAGTGATGTACTCGTGGACCCAAAGAAGAGGCAGTCAGAATTGGTACAATGCCGGTGACCACTACGCCTCGGGTGGCAGCATCTTCTATCCTCATGTAATGTATGCCATCACAGCCATACCCCTGTACACTCCGTTACACTCCGGTAAGCCCTAGAGCCAGCATCACTGCAAGTGCCAATGCACGCGCCAACACGTATGTGGGCCGCAGCAAAAACTGTGACGGGAGGTTTCTACTTGACACATGTTTGGGATTACCTGTAGGGAATTTATCAAGGAGTTTTGATCCCAGCAACTGTATAATGAAACAGGCAGAAACTCCAGAAACCACGCAAGCGAGGAGCCACCACGCACAGCAGCTTGTTGTTTTTTTCGACATCCCCTTGTGCCACTTCGGGATTGAGACCTGCTATCCAATGCTCAAGTGAAGCTGATCGATGTTGGACCACTTCCCTTGTCGTTGCATTTCGGTCCAAAAACTTGGGCTGATGCAGGTCGCAGCCTGCAAGGAAAATTAACCCCCGCAAAGTTTTGTGCGGATTCCGTGTCATTACTGAGGGGCCGTGGACTCTGGTCGGATACAGGCCTGGATGCCACATGGTCAGCTGCGCTTCGGTGAAAGGGTACACCTGTTTTTGTACATGCATGTGCCCCGTTTACTTCGAAAGGCTGGTGTCACTCAGCTTCCCCGGACCTTGTCTCCGGTGCCTTTGCCAGGCATTCACGGGATGCTGCTTTCCAAAGCTAAAGCTGCAATGAATGTGAAGGGTAGCTTCTGGCTGCTAGCTGCTGACTCGCTTCAGCCTGTTGTCTTCGAGCGCAGCATGCATCTTATCGGCGAGCTAAGTTGTCCAAACAGCCGCGCGGTTCCGTGCGCCAGGTGGACAGCTTTTGGAGCCAGTGACGGGCGTCCCATCCTCGCAGCCAGGCGCGCCTCCGCCTGCAACGTGTCTCTCAGAGTCGAAGTGCACAGAGTGCTTAACTTCAAGGCCGATCTCATGTGAAAGCTACTTGTCGCGATGCAATTGACGCACGGTCATCCAGGAGCAAAAAGAGCTGTTGCAGGTCAGACGTCAGCAGCTTCGACAAGCCCTTCACCCTTTGTTGCGGCGAGCTTCGAAGCGGTGGATACGAACCAGGATGGTGTCATCACCCGTGCAGAGTTCCAACAAGCAGCGAACAGCGGCCCCGATCTCGAAAATTGACCGATGTTTGTCTCCATGACTGTGCAGCGTCAGCCGAGGCCTCATCTATCCAGTCGGCAGTGCGCCCGTGAGGTAGCAGATGAGTGCACTCGGGACAGACTCACGCTAAATTTTCCGCTCTCGAAGTTGTTCAACGAGCAACAGATGCATGTGAAACATGTAAACACCAGTGTCGAGAAGTAAAACTGCGCCCTGGCGCAGGTCTGTTTCGCCTATGCAGCATCGTGGTGTCCCTGCGTCTGTGCCCCGGGATCATGAGGAGAAGCATTCTGCAGTCTCTCGTGCTACTACGAATCAGGTTTGCATATGCGCAGCCATTGAATCGTGGAGTGCCCGATGCCCAGCCTATGGGTTTGCACAAACTAGAGCTCTGAACCAGAGCTTGTAGAGTGGGCTGGGGAGTTTCGAGGTCTGACTTATCCGTGCTGTCGCGTGCTGTCATGGCTGGATGGCCTGGATGGCTCAGGTCGCCAGAGCCAAGGAACCCGGCGGGCTGGGATCTTTGTACCTCGCTTCTGGTGCGTCGCGGGTCAGGCTCCGACGACGAAAGGCTTTTCGTAACAGAGCTAGGCGAAAAGCACGAAAGTTATGCAGTCTGGGTCCGCCTGGGCGCATGCAAATGCTTGCCGCTCGCGGATCTGGGAGTCAGTTCTCGTTGAACGGGATGTCCTGTTTCAGCAATTCGAAGCTGATTCAAGCAAGGTCAGCTTATTGTTGGTGGCAGCTCTCCACACCTGGTGCAGGCTGACATTGACATTGGATGTCCTTTCCAAGCACCCCAGCCTTTTGAAGCTCTGACCCAATCTGGGCTGTGCAGGCCATGCCGGGAGCTCCAGTCCAGACCGTGTCGGCTGTGGCCTTAGGACAGGCTTCACAAGCCTGGCGATAGTGCGAGCTGTCCTGTTGCACTTGTTGGTGCATGCCGTTCATTGCCTGCGATGTACCCGAGCGCCGCTTTATCCCTTCATACCCACTCACTTCTGCTTTGTGTGAGTGAGCTCAAGTCATGAGGCCCAGTTGGCTCAGCACCGACCTCAGCTTCTGATATCACGGCAGCACATATGGACATAGCCGGGACGTCAGGAGTTGTGATACTTGATCGCGGGACGGGGTATTCTGCAACATGTGGTAAAGTCGCCAGCCGCTAGCTTTTCGCTCCAGAATGGCAAACCAACCAACCCGCTTGGGAAAGCACCGCTGTCACATGCTATGGGAGGGGATGTTTGACTCAGCTGGGTGCTGTTCTGTGGTGTGCATGCTGAGGCCCTGACATGCGTAAGTATCGAAGTGCGGATAGGTCAGCAAGCGACAGGTAGCAACCAGCTTGCAACTAGCTTCTGACATCCGAAGACTTGCAAGGCTCTTCGGCAAATAACCGTTGCAAGTGACCTTCTTCTCAAGCCCAGGCCGACGATGTCTGTCCGGCGCCTTCTTGTGTTCGCGGCACGAGATTGTTCGGCTTTCTGGAGGGAGCCATCTGCGATGGATGCTGAGGTCCCCAATATTCAGGTGATGCCACCTCCGCAGGTGTCTTAGTAAACATTGCTGGCCTCGTCCTGCGACCAAGAAGTTCTGCATGAACATGGAAGTTAGAAGAAGAACTCAGCAGGATTGGCAGGAGTGGTTTCAAGCTATGGTTTGGATGAAGAACACGGTTGTCTTGAAAGGCTTCTTTTCGGTCCTGTTTTGGTTCCAGCTCACCTCATCATAGCCAGTTTTCGGTTCACGTCAGTGGCTGTCGCTGGGCCACTGGTAGATGGAGAGCCTGACACAGGGTTTCCTGTGACTTTGCAGAGCGTTGCGTCTGAAGCTCGTCCCCGAGGTCTGAGCCCGAGCCGCCACAGAATTTTTCCGAGGAGTGGTTTTGCCCTTGAGCTCGAAAATGAGAGTCGCCTCCTCGCCGACCTCTTGAGGATCTGATCAAGCGCATTGATGGGGTCGTCGGCAGCTTACAATAAACAGGTGCAAAGCTGCTGCTTGCAGCTGATGGTCACAATTTTCTGGAAGCCTGGAATGCATGCACGAGCCTTGTGAACCTTGTGCATGCCAAACCTCTGGCGGTTGCCGACTCCAGGTGACCGAGATGGAGCGGGAGCTCTCAGACGATCTGGCAGCGCGGGGATCTCACAGCAAGCCAAGTCTTTGTAGACCCAGGGCCAAACCGCAAACCTCTGGTTCCACAACAGGTGCAACAGCCAGACCGCGCACAGCTGTTGGAAAGGGTCTTGAAAGGGTTCGTATCTTGAGATTCCAGCCTCATATTGCTGCAAAGGGAAGTCGCCCACACCAAACCAACCAAAGAGCCCGGCCGATGGCATGGGTAGGGAGGCACATCTTTCACATGAGAGGTTTGAGTCGTTTAGTTCTTGTCGGTTCCAGAAGCAGGCACGCAGGGATGTCAAGACTCAAGGCGATGTGCCTTTTGAATCCCGGCAGCTGGACGACTTTTAAGTTTGGCACAGGCTTCGAGTGTTGAGCAAGATGTGTGGCTTACATAGTTCAGTTCTACCCGGAAAGGCATGTATTCTGGATATCCTTGGGTTGGTTTGCCCGGGCGTTGCCCCGATGCTCAGAAACTGGATCTTGTATGGCTGTGGGAGAAGCTGACTTGGATCGTTTGTTTCCCGAAAGCATAGCGAATGGTTTTCGTTCGAGGTTTGAGGTGTCCAACGCATGTCCAGAAATCATTCACAGAGAGTCCGACGGCCAAGTTTCGTTGCGCCCTTGAGTTACATCAGCCAAGCCTGCAGCTGTCGCTCATCCAAGCTTCGCACATCTGCAGACTTTCCTGAAAGACACAGGCCGACACAAAGAGATAGCCCTGATATCCGTGCTGCTGAGGTGTGTGAAGTCTCCGCTGAACGAGCTGAACACTGCTGTCAAGGCCTCCAGCGTTGGGTCGGCATCATGTGAGCCATCATGGGCCTTGCCTGCTGTTGCATCACGGAGCTTCTTCCCTGTGATGCTTGCTGGTTTCACGACCTGCGCTGAGGCGGAGTTGGGTGGCAGAAGCCCTGGTTGAAAGTTCAGTCATGCATACAGGGCGCTGTCTTGCAACCTTGGCACAGTTGCATTGGTCTTTCCACTGAAGCAGTGCATTGAATGCCACTCGTTCATATCTCGATCTTGGTTATGCTTTCCCAACGGATGATGCGATCTGCGTCTTCGAACTCGAGGCACCACGGAAGACGCCGATGGGGCTGGCGACAACGAAAGCCGGATCTTTGGGTGGATTTCGACGTCAGATTCGAAAAACGAGCTTGTTGGATGTTTTGCAGCAAACCCTTGGTCATGCCAGAGAGATCAGATCAGTGTACGGCATTTTCGTCGGTTTCTGCAACTGCCGAGGCACGCTTGACTGGATTGACAAACAGATCCGGGCTATCGAGCAGCGCCGTGAGGCTTGCGAGCTGAGGCACAGAACCCGGGCAAGACTTGCACAATTTCCCAGATTCTAATATTCGACAAGTTTTGGAACATAACATCTCGAGCACGAAGCCTAGCGGGCGAGCCAGATGTAAGTAGGACGAGATTGAATCTTTCCCTAGGGATTTGAGATTGGCTTTCTTGGGGGTAGATGCCGAATCGCAGCCGCATTTGCCCGCTTGCCATCTGGAGCAAAGATTGGGCTGTGGACTGTGTGCGCAGCTTGAAGGCAGACCCATCTTTCCGATTTGCGGCGCCTGGTTGCAGATGGTGAACGTGGGCAGCTATCAGGCACGATGTCAGCAATCGCCTGTCTTTGTGATCCACGCTTCCACTGCATTCAGATTTGAAATTTCTTGTCCTCCGCTGACTGCCAGGCCGCCGCCTCATTCGTGACGAAGGCATTGGACAAACTGTGCAAGCTGGCCTGATCCGTCAAGTCTTCACATTCCCTGCTGCGTTGCTACAGGGCTCTATGCTGCACCGCCGGAGGATTTCGATGAGGCTGTTAGCATTTGGACGGTGCGCCGTTTCGTAAGCAGGTTGTCGAACACGCACGGATCATACGAGTAGCAAAGACCCTACATGCGTGCCTTTTCGTGCCCAGTCGAGCTTCCGCTCCAAACAAGGGGCTCGACACATCGCGGGTTAGTTGATGCCTTGCTAACTTCTCCTCGTCAGCAGTACGGTTTCGGATGAGTATGGCAGGGTTTTCTTCGCTTTGCGCGCCCATGAACTGGGGATCCAACTTCACACTGCGGGAAGCTGCGTGTCAGGCCGGGAACAGCCCCGCCCGGCGGCTCTCGATCCTCGAGGCGCACAGGGCGGACAGATGCTGCAGCGGTGGGATGGGTGGAGTCTGGAAGGGCTGTTCCTACCGGCAGGGGAGGGGCAGCAACAAGGGAGACTCTCAAGTGTCAGCAAGTGGAAGCCACGCCAAGGGAGGGGCACGGCTGCTCTTTCCTTCAAGTCCCGGTGAAGAGACTTGAAGAAAGGAGTAACAAAGGCAGGCAGCATGCTCAGCAACACTGGGCTCCTCATCGATTAGCCCGACCTCGTTTGGAGCCAGGTAGACCCCGTCCAAAACACGGAGCCCGGAAAGAGGCATATGAGGAGATTGGGGCTGGAACTCAGCGGGTTCGGCATGGCTTTGGTTTCGGCTCGAGGGCTTGTAGCCCACATGAATCAAAGCTGAATCCGACGTAGAGGGGTCGAAGGGACCACTCCGTGAAATGATCGAGGCGACCGAAGCAGAGGAGCCTTCCTTCAACTTGCCATTGGCTGCTGCTGGGCGGGCTTGTGGGCTGTTGGACCAGGCGCTTGGCTTTGCAGCTCACTTGAAGCCTTTGGCCAGCCACCGGTTCTTTGCCAGCGGTTGGGGGGACCTTCAGCAACTTCAGGATGCTCGTGCTTTTATGGACGACTTTGTGCTGGAATATTCACACGGCGTTGCGGCACCCTCGGTGTCCTTCGGACCAGAGTCGCCTCTTTTCGGGGGCTTGGGTTTTCGCTGCCGTGGAGAGTTTCCGAGCCCCCTGGCATCCTATCTGCCGGAGGAGAGCAAACTTTGTGACTTTGAGCTCCTCATGCCGAAGGATCGACAACCCTGGGCATGCGTGGTACAGTTTCCAGGCACAGCAGACCAGTCGTACTTGTTCCGTAAGGTGATGCTGGGCCTGCCGCTCTTGCGAGAAGGTGTCGCCTCGGTGCTGATAACACCACCATTCTACGGCGCGCGTCGCCCGAAACATCAGACACTGCACTACATAAGCACTGTCGCCGAGTTCTCCCATCAGAGCGCGGGCCTTCTCCTGGAAGCCATGCAGATTCTGGATTGGCTTCGTGAAAAGTTCCCCCATGCCTGCTTGGGAAGCACGGGCATCTCCTGGGGCGGGGCAATGGCTTCGTGCCTTGGGTTTTTGGGGAAGAAGCATGATTTGGCTGTGGTGCCCTGCCTTCCCTCCGCCGACCCCGAGGTCTTGATCAGTGGGGCCTTGCGTGGCGAGGTGGCTTTGGACCGTTTGGCAGAGGAAAGCCATGGCCTTGATGCACATGAATCCGAGAGCCTCCTGCGTGGCCTGTTGTGTGCCATGAGCACCAGGGAGCTCAACGAAATGGTGATCCCTGGGTCTGTCGGTCGAAAGGTCGTGCTGCAGGTCAGCGCTTTCTACGATACATTCGTGGACAAAGGATCGAGCCAGGTGAACTTCCGCCTGCTGCGTGACCTGGACTCCAAGGCTCAGTTGCGCTGGGTTGCTGGTGGTCATGCCTCTTCCCATGTCGTGGCCCGTTTTCTCTTCTCGAAGTCCATTCTCACCGGTCTTCGACGTCTCGCAGCCCACCAGCAGCACGAGCGCACATGGATCCCATCCAGGTTGTAGGGCAGGTTGCCGCAGGTTTTCTTGTCGACCTTCGTCCGGCTTGCCAAGCAATGCTGGGGGAATGAGACGAAGCTAGGACGCAAAGACCTCAAGGTTCAAAGAACTCTGAAGCCCTTGATTTCTGTAGGTGTGGCGTCAGTGCCACGAAAGCTTGCTGAGCTGCTTGGGGTCAGTGAGCTTTGCCAAAATGGTGCTATCACGGTCATGTACCGGTTGGTTCTCGCACAACTTCGCAGGCTTCAGATGCCACGTGGCATGTGCGCGCATGTTTGGTCTGGAGGCCGAACACGAGGAGCTCAAGAAGCAGGCTTCTGCTGCTTCCACTGCAGCCTACCCCCGTTTCTCATCCCCAGAATGCGACCAAGATGCTGCAAGATGTCGTGCATGAGCTGCGACGTTTGTCTAGTCTAGTCACTAGTCACTCACGAGTCATCCCCTAAAGTCTCCACAGGTCGAGTCTGAACGGCTGGAGCTCCTGAAGGCGGAGCGCGTTGCCCGTTGCTCTTCTTGGCAGCTCAGGTCGCTCTGTTCAGTCGTTGCACTAATCTGGCACGGAAGGTGCGCTCCAACCTGGAGATGGAGTGTGAGCGTCGCTTAGAAGAGGCTCCACATGCTTCGTGAGAGACGTCCACCACATAGGGTGCCACGGTTTTGCTGTCCTGGTTGTTGTACTGTAAGTCATTGTAGCAAAGGTGCGGGCGCTTGCAGACTCGGTCCAGGCCACCTCCGCAAACTTAGCAGATGCTACGTGCCTAAATGCAGTGCTGCCGTCTGCCGTTGAGCTTAGTTGCAGTAGGATCTGCCCAAGCAAAAAAGCTGTTTGGTGCCAGGAGGGTCGGCAGCGCGCTATAGTTGCCGAAGAGGCCATCGTGGTCATGCTCCCTCGCCTCGTACAGATGCTTTCGACGAGGTGTTTGCACGACCCTAGGTTTTTGATTGTTTGATTGGTTGACGGATTGATCGATTGTTGAGTGCCGTGGGACGGCGGCCCTGCATGGGGTCGAACAGGGATGCAGCAGTTCCCGTCGAGGCAGCTAACCAGCGCGCCAAAGAAGCCGGCTTCCAGGTCCAAGTGCTGCAGGCAGTCGCCAGGGCTGCACTGTTTTAAAGCGCTGGCAGTGACGGAGCTTGCCAGGATCGCCTACGTGAGGCAGAGGCCATGGGACGAAGGTTGTAGTGGACAACGTTCATCTTCTGCAAAGGATTGTATTCCTTGATCGCTGTCTCCGATCGAAATCGCAGACAGGCAACCTTAGAGCGTGAGCGCCAGCAGTTCCGCGCAGCGCAAGAAGCGCAAGCTGCGGCAGGTTCACTCTGGGAAGGGATTGGAATAGAGACAGAGAGGGGCAGAGAGGGGCACGTGGCCTTTAAGCGGGCAGGTGCTGATCTCCGGCAACTGGAGGTGCAGTTGCCTTGTTGCCTTTGCATCGATCACGGCTCGAACAGCACAGGTCATAGGAGTGTCAAGGAAGCTCGTAGCTTCGTTTTGTCAGGAGAACTCTCGCGCGGTGCTTGCCGACTGCCGTGCTCTACAGCAGAAGGCTTGGGTCGTGCAAAGTTCGTTGCGATTCGCTACAAAGCAGCAGCTTACAGATCTTACCGAAAAACTCTTCTCTCTTGATGGAGGTTCGTGAGCTTGAGCTGGAACGAGCGGCTTTCCTCGAAGTCCAGGCGAAATCCGAGGCACGCTGCAAGAAGGAAGCACCGGTTGTTGTTGTTGAAGCAGTGTTGATTGTGCACTCGGCCTGCAAGGAAGAGCGCAAGGCCATGATGGGTCGCATTAGCCAGTTTGAGGACCGAGTGCTCTCCGCGGATGTGTTGGGATGGCACCGCGATAGGCAAATGCAGCTATAGGAGACCAATCCTCAGGGGGGAGTAGTCCTGGACATGATGCGAGTGGATGCTGTTGCTGCTATCGCCTGGAAGGATGAAAAATCACGAGACATTGAGTCGGTGCTACAGCATCACCGCGAGCAGTGGCGGGAGGAAGGGCTCAGATGGTGTTGTGGCACCTGCTTAGACTGCCTTGTGGCCACCACCACAGGCTGCCAACAGGGAATCCGAGCAGATGCTAGCAGCTCAGTGCATCGATTCCGAAGCTGTGGCTGTGGCTGTTGTCGCATCGGTTGCCTCGTCAGAGTCTGCAGGCGAGCCTCCCTTGAGGCAACACATGGCCGCAACCTGAAGGCCTTTCATGTCTTCCGTGGCATCCCTCTCTACAGAATCACCTATCCTGCATCAGGACCTGGAGAGGCAGGCCCAAGCCAGGGCTGCCGAACCGCACCCGACCGTTCTCAAGGAGCTGGAAGACCTGAGAGCCGAGCGTGTGAGGCCAGGGCCCAGCTTCAAGGGGCTCGGGGGGGATCACCGACTTTTGGCCCTTTCCAGGCTTCAGGCCGATCGCGATTCGGAGCAGCGGGCGAGAGTGGAGGTGGAACAGCGCCATGCTGCAGCACGGGCCTTGGTGATCGTTTCAAAAGCGGGAGGGGTGCAGCGTGGGAAATCTAAGCCAGTGAAGATCGATCGCGAAAGGGCCTGGGGTGAGTGAGTTTTCTCATGTTTTCTCCCTTCTGGTTAGAGCTGATGTTCATTTCCCCCCTTCCTTCCAAGGATGTGAGCCCCAGGAGTCTTAAAGCTTGCCACTAGTACTAGAGGCCCCAGAAGCCTCCTATTTGACACGCTGAAGCCAAGCTTTGGGTCGAATCTGGGTTTGCTTGGGCCAGCGGAGTCTTCTTTTAGCTCGTTTGAGCTCTCATCCAAGCAGATTCTGTCTGATTCTGGCTTTCTTTTTCTACATAGGGGTTTCTTTGACATTATGTGGCGAGCAGGAAGATGTGCTTCAAGCCACAACACCCATGGCACGTGCTGAGTATTCATGCTGCTGCTGTGCCCCAGAACTTCTGCATGTGATGTATTAATGCGTGTTTCTTATCTTGACACCTCAACTCATGGAGGGCAGGCCTTGCATCGGCTCTTATCACCTGCAGCCACGCTTTGCGGTCTGCTGCTCTCTGACCAGACTGCGCAGACCGCCGGTTTTCCTTGAGTCTGTGTCCGACAGCACGTGTCTCGGTGCCTCTGTGGTGCTTTGGTGCATAGTGCGGCGACGTCGGATCTGCCGAGCTTGCGTGAAGGCTGAGCTGCGGGAGGAAAGCTTACGGAAGTTCCGGTTGCTGCCGAAGCGATGGTCCAAAAAGATCAGCGACGAGCCGCAGACATCGCGGCCTTTAGGGGCATCGCAAGCAAGGCGCATGTTACTTTTTGAGAACGCCGCTGCGCTTGGTGACGAGGAGTGGCTTCAGGCCCTGCTAAAGGCCGGTGTCGACGTAAATGGAAGGAACCTGTTCGGGCAGACTGCCTTGTTCTTGTCTTCGTGGTATGGCCATGAGAGCGCAGTCGCTGCACTCATCTCCCACGGTGCTGAAGCTTTTCCTGCAGGTGGAGGCATCACGCCAAAGCAGGTGGCAGAAGCAATGAACCATCATGGAGTTGTGGAGATGCTTTGTAAATCTTTCACTGCAAATGCCGATGATACTGTAACAAGCGTAGCAGATTATTTCAAGGCATCGGCTTATTCCAAAGCGGCGCCGCAGTTTCTTCTCCCCGAGCCTGACATGGTAGGAAGCTGGCTGTTTCTTGAAAGCTTCGAGGATGACTTTCTACAGATGCTGGAGAATTTGGGGCACAGTCTGCCTGTACCGGAGACAGAGATGGGCCGGCGAGCAGCAGAGCGCCTCTTCTTTTGTGATGCGATCGGCTGTGTTCAGGAGGCCCTCACATCTCTGCTGCAATCCGCGGGATTTGGTGATGTGCACGTTTCTCCATGGCTTAGGTTCTTGCGATACAAAAGCCCCAATGTTCCCCTGGTTCCCCATGTTGATTACCAGTGGTTACCTGGATATATCTCTTCAGCGCTGCCTGGCTACTCGCCGGCTGGGCTCAGCACAACCCACACGTTGCTCCTGTACCTGACTGATTGTCACGACGGCGGTGAGACTTGGCTGCTTCCAGCAGCCTCTGAGGTTTCGGACACTCCCGAGGCGCTAGCACGTGTCCCTGCACGTCGTGGCCGTGTTCTCCTTTTTCCGCACGAGCGGCTTCACATGGGCACTGCGCTGCGACGACTGCCAAAGATGATGCTTCGAGCCGATGTCAGACTGGGCTCAGCGCCGCGTGCGAAAACACAGTTGGATGTGGGTGTGCTTGAGTACAGCTGTTGCAAGGAGAGCCTCAGCTCCGAAAGCTTTATGCTCCTAGGCAGTCAAAGATGCAGCAATGCTAAGAGAAGATCAGCAGCGACTGCAGGCGCATCTTGTTACAGATTCGGTATGGGAAGGGGATGGCTGAGCGGTTCAGATTCGCGCTGGGACACCCTGTAGGCCGCTCACGCAGCGGAAGAGCGTGCAAAGGAGGGCGGGGTCATGTCTTGGCATCGACTGCTGGCATCGCAGGCCAGGAAACGTTTGCCCTGGCAGGAGGATGTCGCAGCGAAGCACAACGCCGTGTTGGCGGACATGGAAAGGATTAAGGGTGACAAGCTGGAGTTGGAGAAGGAGCTGCGCAAGGTGTCCGAGTTCGGGTTTTTTCGGACAGGCATCTTGCGTTCATGTGATGGGGCACGTGGCTGGTGCATTGAAGTACGGATAGGGACTTGCCGACCAGTCCTCCCAGTTACTAGTTGTCCTATCTAGTTGTCTTGCCCGTAGCTTGGATGCGTGCTGTCAGGACCAAGCTGCAGAGAAGCAAGCCAGATTGCTTGCAGAGCAGAAGCATGCTGCAGCCCTTGAGGCTTGGATTGACCAAGACGTTGAGAGGGGAGACTGCACTGTTGCACCATCTGCTTCGTGGACTTGTTTGCCTCTCGTCTTGGGGCACGACCTCGAAAGCAGGATGCAAAGCGCCTGAAGGCTGACCAAGAAAAGTTGCAAGCGGCCGCGCTGGCTCTCATTGCATTTCAATGAGAAGAGATGGGATATATTCCGCCCAGCCGCCCAGATGCCAGATGCCTCCTTTCCAAATGCCAGGACAAACAGGCTGAGCAACAGGCACGCGCGGAGGCTCGGGGCTGTAGGAGGTCTCAAACATATTCCATCTTATGGTAAGCTTGGGAACTGAAGCGGCTAAGCTCGCCAGACCTATCCATGCAACACGGGCAGGTGTCAGCAGAGTTTTGATGCTTTAGGCAGACGACGCTGGGGACGTCTAGCTGGTAAAATGGGCACTTCTAGCTGGTGATTTGGAGGATTTTGCGGAGTGCCAGTGGCGTCGTTCCTACTGTTACTAGCCTCAGGGATTTGTTGGCATCAATAGAAGTTTGGCAGGCCGAGCGCAAGCACCAGTCAGTCTTGAAGGACATGGAGCAGGTTCGTCAGGACCTCGATGTCACAGCGTGTGGTCGCGTCAAAGCTTTGTTCAGTTTGTGCTCTGAGGCGCAGACCACCAACGGGTGAGCCAAGAGAAGGAAGAGGAAGCTCGTCTCCGCGGCAGTGCTCAGTCGAACAGGGCTTGGGGCTTCAACTCCAAATAAACGCAAGGATCACCTTCGAAGACGGCACATTGCAGCTTAGCAGCTTAGCCGAGGATGCCATCGAGCAAGTATCGCCGAAGCTAAAACCTCGAAGAAGGATTCCTGAGAGCAGGTGAAGGGCAAAGGGCTACAGTGCTGATCCGAAAGCCCCGAACCCGAAGGCTGGTGCCTCACTTTGCAAGCCCCAGCTCCGCAAGCAAGCCTTGTGACAGAGGATCCGGGCCCAAGATTTGCACTCCTGTCGGTGAGCTTCGGCATGTTAAGGCGCAGAGGCGGAAATGAGGCATGCAGCCGTTGCCAAAGACATGCAGAAGCTCCAGGAAGACCACTCGAGGCAGGACCCTGAAGCCTTGGTCACTGGGGACTTAGACATGCTGCATCTGAAGTTGAGGCTTAAAGCCGACAAAGATGCCGAAGAGCAAGCCAAGCTGGAGGTTCACCTCTTCTGCATGCTAGCATGTTCCATGCAATAGAAGTGTAGCCGTGTAGCAGGCTAGAATCGTTGTCTGCAAGCGTGACGGATGATGTTTGCGATTAGCTTTCAACTTTTCGATCAGGTAAACTGCAAGTCTCGGAATGTGGATCAAAAAACGCCGCCACAACTGCCTTCCCCTCTGCCCTCAGGTGTTGCCAGTTTACGGCTTTTCTGTTTCCAGCCCGCAAGCAGGTGCAGCGACTCCATCAGGCAGGGGGGGACATCTGCGGTGACGGTGAATGCAAGAGCGGTTTGAGCTGCTTCATGGTTGTGGCCGCCGTGGCCTGGCATGGTGAAAATACTCGGGTATCTTCTCAGGAGGTGCTGCGAGAGAAGGCGTCTGGACATGGTCACTTGCAGGAGCTGACAGGTTTGTTGCGCACCGCAGATACCGCAGACATCCGCAGGCAGCTTGCTTGAGCCAGGAGCTTTTGGAGGCCGAGAGGCGGGCCAAGGAAGAGATGCAGCAGCGCCACGCAGCGGCCGGCAGCTTAAAACGCAGATCCAAGCGTGTCGCAGTACGTCTGCATGTGCTGTTCCTGTCTAGATACAACCGAGGTGGAAGGCGACAAACAGCCGGCCCGGCACGTCTTACGAGAGAATTATGAGAGCTGCCTTGGACACTGAGAGAGAGACTCGCAACAGACCAGACTTGGACAACGGCGCAGCGCTGTGCGCAGGGAGGGAGGGCCAAGTGCTCTACTCCCAAACGAGTTGGAAGCAAGCAAGCAAAAGAGAGACAGAGAAGAGAAATGATGAAAAGACCTTGCTAGTTGCCACTATGACGAGTACAAACAACAAGGCCTTCGCCACACGAACGTCCCACTGACGCGTGACTGAAGTTGCTTTCCATTTCAGCAGCGCTCCTCCACACTTTCGTGAACGACCAGCGGCGATGCGCGTGGAGTGGAATTTCAGGTTGTTTGCGGGATTCACGACGTTGCAAGAGTGCCTGTTTCTGTGCGGATGCTAGCAAAACGATGGCATCATTGCAGAAGGGAAAGGTCAGTGCGTTGGTATGTGTAGGTGAGACGTGCAAACATCAGTGGTTTCTGCACCAGTCGCTTACATCGTTGCTTGTGATTCGGCCGCCGTGGCAATAGACACAAGTGAGACTTCGGTAAAGTGCAGAGAGCGAGGGGTAGAATGTGTTAGCCATGGCAAAGTCGAGAACCGACCTACTGGGGATCAACGAACGTATCTGCAAAGGAGCAGCAGTGTCGTAGTCCTGGAAGTTGATTTTCAGACGCCGTAGTCTCTTGCAAGGAAGATGGCCCAGGATCAGGCCAAGATGCAAGCAGACCAGGCTCCGGAGCTTCGAATCTCTGGATCTTGAGTCTCTACCGTCTCTACCTTGGCTTTCACTGTTAAAGGGACCCTGAGCTCTTCCCAAGCGGACGCAGCCGCAACACCAAGCCCATGGTTTCAAATAGGCTTCTCGGAGGGTTCACTCCCCAAACTTGTCGTCGCCGCGTCAAGGAACTGTGGCTTGCGAGTGTCTGCATGAGCAGCTGCGTCCAACTCTCCACATTGTTTCTGTCGGGTAGCGGGAGAATACAGGTCCCCGGTGCTAAGAAGATATCCCAGAAGCTCACGCCCTGCTTGCGTTCATTGGTCAGGCCCGCGAAGCTCAGCTAAGAGCGCAGGCCGTGGTTAGTTGAGATCTGCAAATATTTTTGAGAATGCTTCCGGATTGCACGGGTTCAGAGGCTCAGAGAATTGAATTTGAGGGCATACATGCAAGCAGCTTCTCCGGAAAACCTCAGCTCAGACAGTAGTTGAAGGCGATTATCCCGTTAGCAAAATTCAGGTGCAGTTGATGCGCAGCAAGTGTTCATTGGTTCAGCTTCCGAGTGATGGCGACTAGTGTGCTCCTGGTCTGCTTGTGACCTGCAGCTGGCCCCAAATGTTGAAACGTCAGAGAATGATCAACTTTCCTCCTAGGGAGTCGTACCCCAACGCTACGCACTCCATGCTTGCAGACGCGCACTGCCAGGCTGAACAAAAGCACGAAGAGCTTGCACGAGATATGCAGAAGTTACGCTCTGCCACCATGCTTGAGAGATGCTTCCTTGCACACTCCGTCGGAGATTTGAAATCTGATGAGTGCTGCTACATGTGATTGAGGGCCATGTACCTGCTGGGCCATCGTGCCACAGTTCTTGCAACTGATACTTTTCTTGTCAATATTGTCATGAACGGTGGACTCTTTATCCTCCTTGGTTGCATAGCAACGTGTGATGATGGCAGGTGAAGATCAACAGCGTCTGCAGTCCGACAAAGAAGCTGAAAGCCAGGCCAAAGCCGAGGCCATCTCACAGACACCATCGAACTTCCAAAGCACCACCGCAGGGCACTTGAGGAGTCTGGCGGTTTAGGAAGCCGCTCTCCCCATTGAATGTAGAAGTGATGCACCGCACAATCCACTACTATATTCGTTTGCATGTCCGTGGAATGCATGACTCAGTTGCTGTTGACGGTGGGGACGGTGGTGGAGGGGGGTGGGGGGCGGGCTGATCACCACGACGAAGCAAGATAGGACATCGATGTTCCAATCGTGCCAGCATCTCGGTTTTAGATTCTAGGCGTGTCCGCCAGCCACTGCCAGCCTGCATATCGTTGGTATTGAACTTCGACATGCTTCGTTGAGGACTAAGCCCGATGCCCTGGAGTTGGCTTGTTTTGCCTTAGCCGTGTTGGTTTTGTGGTCGTTCTCTCGGTGGTTGCAGCCGTGGAGTCTTATCAATGGATTCTGAACGCATGACCCAAGAGCCAGGCCGAGCGGCGACATGCTTCAGTTCTTCAGGATATGCAGAAGCTGACGGCAGACAAGCAGAAGCTGGAGGTGTTCCTTTTGAAATTATCGCTGATCGGCATACCCACGATAACAGAGTTGCTATTCTGTCACTCGGCATGTTCGAGGCAGACCATGCTGCTGAGAGACAGGCGCGGCAAGAGGCCATGCTCATCAGACAGTAGTCGGGCATATTCGGGCACGTATTGTAGGGTTTTCCAGCGGCTGTGCAGAGCTGTCAATGTCAAAGATGCGGCAGGCAGAGAGGAAGCATGTGGAAGTTCTGCAAGACCGAGAGAAGATGTCTTCGGACATGCACTCCCTTCAACGAGACAAGGCCGTTCCGCATTGACTGCGCGCTGCATCTCCGACGTCGTTGTGCCTCCTCTCAGGATGCAGAGACTACAGCCAAAGAGGAGTATGCACGAAAACACGAGGCAGCTTGGAGGGAATCTAATGCTTGAGGATGCTGGCATGGAAGTCCGGGGAGGCAGGGCCCAGGGTCCACGGGTCGGGTCCACGAGCAGGCCGCCTTGAAGCAGCTGGACCTGGTGAAGGCTGACCAGGCCAAGCTGCGCTTGGACAAGGACCCCTCTGGTTCCCTCGGTGTCTGGCAGCGGCTGAGAATTGAAATGAGGAGTCTGAAGCTCGTGCCAGAGCAGATCTGGAAGCAAAGCATCAGGCATGAATGTCGTGCCAACGGTGGTCGGGGTTGTATTCAGGCTGTCATCTGATCGGACCTGCCCGAGTGGACTTGAGGACATGGCATTGAAGTTTCACTGCATCTGTGGAGGCTGTCCTGCGTGACAAGGAAGAGATTCAGGCGGGTGCAAGGAGTGCTTGGCGGTTATTCTCCATGGTGGCTTCTCGTTGCAGCAGGCACAGCATCTGAAGGTCCAGCAGGACAGAGACAGGTGCGGTGATGTCCAACCCATTTTTTAGAACAGTTGTTGTTGGGACGTTGGTCTGGCGCAGACGGTCTTCAGATCTTTGGAAGACTTGTAGGCTGGAAGCGCTCCATGGCCATGCGTCGCGAGACCACGAAGAGGCAAGCAGAGCAGTGCAAGTAACAGCAAGTTGCCTCCCAAACACAGAGCGCCTGTGGCTTCAGGCCCACGCGAAGCTCAGAGCTGCGCACGAGGCCGAACTGAAGCATACCAAGGCGAGCTCAAGTTATGCGGGCGTACGAGGAAGATAGCTTTCGGCCTGACTGAAGTCAATGACATGACAAGGGTGCGTAAGCAGTCAGCACGAACTTTGTGGAGGACTCGCATGTGCAGCTCAAGGCAGAATGGGAAGGCAGACACCAGGTCGGCTCGATCTGATGTAAGAGCTTGGCTGCCTGAACTTTTGCGGCTAGATGGCTCCCAGCTTTGTATTCGGAAGTCGATCGTGCAAATCACGGCATGAAGAGTTGTGCTGCTTCTGGTCCACCAAATTCCGTGTCAACGCAGCAGTACAGATGCTTGGCCCTTTCCCGGTGAGGACTTGTTGCAGGAGCTTGAGAAGCTCCGTGCCGAGCACCGCAAGCTCCAGCAGGAAGTAAACGTTCCGTGGGTATGATTTTCTCATGCCAAGTATGTTTCTTGGTGAAACCATCTTACACAGGAGCGGGATGACGAGCGACGAGGGCGAGAGCGTGTTCACAGTTGTTGGCTCAGCTTGCTACGGAAGACCTCACGCGAATGTCATGCTTCCAGCTTGAGCTCCGACCGGCTTCTGTCGTGCAGCTCTGCTGCGATAAAGAGCAGGCGACCACCAAACAGCCCTTCGCGACGCTGCCAGGCGCTAAGGAGACAAAGGTAGAGCAGACACGTCGTATTCACGGGGAATGACAATGCTGGGCAGCTTGAACAGACCGAACACATCACAGTCAACAGCCAAGGAGTCAACCAAGATCCAACTGGATGGCCTCAAGGCAGGAGGAATTTCTTGCATAGCGAGGTGATCTTTGCCTCTAGGCCTTGTCGCAGTCGTCTCTACATTTGCTCCATGTCTCGTTTGATCTTCGGGTGCTGTGAAGCGGTCATTCAGGCTTGTTCGTGATGAATTTGGGAGGTGTTGAAGAACTTCTTTCTCGAAGGGTTTGATGCTCCCCAAATTTCCTGCCCTTAAGTCGTGATATGCTAGCAGATGGATGTGCTGGTGGGCCGGACTTCGGGCGTAGACATGGACACAGACACACAATTTCGTCTCGTCGAGGCAGCTTTTGCACACCTCCCTGGTAGGAATGTGAGAAAAGTCGAGAAGGTCCGTTTTCGTGCAAACCCATGCTGGCCGCATAGGCTCGAATAACGAAATGGCGACCCTCTGTCGAGGCTCGCAATGCAGGCGACCGAGCCTCCCTAGACGAGGCAAACGGCAGGCGGGCTGTAGTGTCGGCCAATGACTCCGCTGGGACCTGAATCGGTAGCTCTGCACATCATTATTTAGTTTCTGCGCGGTCTGGCTCCTACGAGCAAAGAAGGCAGCTGTTGAAGTTGAAAGGCTGCGCGCACTTCAAGCCGAGCGGGATACCTTGGCGGCAGACGTCACCACGCTCAAGCTGCTTGTTAGCTTGTTTCAGCTAAGCCCCGGTTCAGCTAAGCTGCCTGAAAGTTGTGTTACTTCGACATTCAAACTTTCAGGATTGCATGACTTGTGTCTTCCCGGCATGAAGCAGCTGCTATTCAGCGCATCTCTCCCGACTGTCACCTGCTCTGCCGGTCAGGAAGTTGAAGGAAGAAAAGAGCAAAGCAGAAACGGACCTCCGGGAAGCCTTAAACAACCAGCGCCTCTGCCATGTGTTGTTGCTTGTTTTCTTGCTTGCAGCAGAAAGCGCTGGTTGGAAGCCAGTCTTCTCCGCGGGGCAACATTCGGGTGTAATGATGCTGTGTTCTCGCTGATTCGGCCTGTAGAGGTGCTCTAGATTCTAGATCATCTGCAGACGCAACAAATCGGACAAGAAGCGCATGCCGAGGGAGGCGGAGGTTAAGCTGCTGCAGAAGAAGTTAGACGAGCGAGACCAGGAGGCTTGGGCATGCCTTTAACATTCAATGTGTGTTCATGGTCTCGGGATGTTTAGGATGGACGGCCAGATTTATCAAATTACTCTGGACCATGGCTTCATTGCTCTTGGAAGTTGGAAGGTTGTTGAGCAGGCTAGTTGGAACCGACCTGGCAGGCTCGACAATCCGAAGATAAGCGGCGAACGCAGGAAGAGAATTTGTCAAGGCACGATTCTGAGAGTTGCTTGACCTTGGGGTGAAGATTGGTGGCATTTCAGTGATTTCCAGACCATGACACCTTCCCAGATTGTCAATGTCGTGGGTCAATTGCAACCCTGTCCCAACGAGTTTCTTGAAGCATGGCAGAGACACGTAGAGTCTTGCAGAGGCTGCTGTCACAGCTGGCTGCTGAGAAGAAGGATCTTTGCACCATGCACAATCAATTGTATGCTGTTCTCTCTTGTTGCAGTGAACAGCGTGGGATTACGGAATGGATTGTCCCCTGGCAGAGGATACGGAAGAGTTGAAGCGTGAACTGGAGCAGGTGCCCGGTGCCACATTCCGGTTTGCACGTTCCCAATCAGCGCCTAGAGAATCGACGTAGGCTTTTCTTCACGCCTAAAGCCTTGAGGACTTTCTTGAATCTAAGCCCGCCGGTTTTCGAAGTCCACTTTGCCTGCTTTTCGATGCTTCTTTCAGCCTGGTTCTTGTCCGTTTCTGGCTTTCCCTCGATCAGTTCTCATGCTGCTTGCACCCTTGAACCTGATGGGGCATCGACTGCCGGCGCCCTTCATGTAGGTTCGCCAACAGGGATTGCAGATCCAGAGGGAAGCAGAGGCAGCCCGTGAAGACTTGCACCACATGGGCTTGTCGGCTGATTGCAAGTATCCTCTGATGCTCAGGAAATTCAGAATACTTCGAGCGACTGGCCGGAAGCCCGGTGGGACCAAAGAGGCATGCAGAGAAAGTGGCATGGGTCTGGGAATGCCACAGTGGACACGGCCTCTTGCAGATATTTGTGCAAATTTATTTCGAACTCTCACCAGAAAACACGCCCAGGCAGCGAAAGTATGAGGAGCTCACCAGACAACATCAGGTGAACCCGTCGTCTTGATTGGGTCTGTTCCCGCTCTTTGCTTTCAAGCATCAAGTGCATTGTGGACCGTTGATGGATAAACTGATAAACGGTTTCGGCGCGCTGATGTCCGTCTGATGTTGTAGGGTCCCCATAACTGGCTTCGTTTTGCGTTTCACTGGAAAGAACTCAGACAAAGAGGTTTAATTTAGATTTGTCGCATCACTAGGCCCAGTACCTGCAAATTGAGGGTTTCTCGGCCCTGCGTTAAACACTTGGGGATTTCACGTAAAGAGGCATCGCTGGTCGCACTGAGCGTAGTGCGTAGTGCCGTAGTCAGGGTGGGCTGTTTTTATCAGGCTGTTTGTGATTGCAGCGCACAGTGGTTTCCCGGACAGGAGTTGAAGACCGCCACAGCATCCATAGCAAAAACGAGAAGTGACGCTGAAATGCGGCAGTGCACCCAGTCGCACTCTGCAAGCTTGCTATGGCTTTTTTTGGCCTGAGAGGATGAAAGTGACATTCAACCACTGCCTTCCGAGGGCGCATCGGATGTCCCTCTGGGCAGAGCTCCAGTCTGAGAGGGATCCCGAAGCTTGTGAATACTCTGGCCCTGGCTCCTGCTTTTAGTGTTTGAGAAGCTTGTGTGATGTGGATGTGCTGAACTAAGCCCGATGAACTTCTTGGCTGGCTTGGAGGATGGGTGTAGCGGCTTTCCTCAGCTACGGGCCTTTTCCCACGCAAGGCTAGATGCAATTCTCAGTTAGCACTCTGACCCGAGTCGTCTTTCTTTGGAGAATGATACCGTTGAGCTGCATTCTTGGACAGAAGCAGGATGGCACGAACTCCGGAGCCGATAAACTTTCAGTCGGATCCACTGCTCTACAATGGTGCGAGTGAAGCGAAGCTTGCGAAGGAGGAGCTGCTGCCTGGATCCAACGCGGAAGTTGTCCTACAGGCAACCATCTGAAGCATGTCGTCGCTCGATCTCTCTCTCTCTCTCTTTCTCTCTCTCTCTCTCTCTCTCTCTCTCTTTCTCTCTTTCTCTCTTTCTCTCTTTCTCTCTCTTTAACAGGTGCGCAAGGCGCACAAGGAGCTGGAAGACAACATTTCGAATGCCACGGAGGTGGAATCTAGTGGTCAACATGCTGATGCGCTGATGCTGGACTGCTAGTTTTGCCTGGGGCAGGTCCACATCAAATCCATCAACGCTCAGCTGGAGGGAGCTGCCATTGCCGAGAGCAAGGAGCCTCGTCATACTCGTTGCGTGGCGGGCCAAGAAATGCCTCGCGTGGATACCGAAGCACATGCAGGGCCTGCCCCTTCGGCGTGGGCTTACCGACTACGAAAAAAGGACGGAGATTGAATCTGAGTCGGGACCTCAGCAGAGGTCAGTGGAGACGACACGAGTCTTCGGGATTCCAGCTATCGTGCAGGCGCCACACTGAACAACTCAGACTGGATGCACGGCTCCATGACTTGCGGGCCCTGCAGGAAGAGGCCAGCAGGTTCTGCAGAGAGAGAGAGAGAGAGAGAGCGAGACAGAGACAACAGTTATATCCGTCGTTGTTATATACTGAAACACCGACCTGTTCTACGAGCACTGACGATGAGATCTGCAAATCACCCCGGGGGACCTTTGATCGCCAACCATAAACAGTAGTTTCCAAGAATACATGATCCGCCGGGGGAAACACTCGCTCAACATTCTCACACTCCTCCAAAGTACCCACAAAATATGGGGTGGCCCTAGTGGCCGAGGGGTCTCAACAGCCCCTCATGCCCAGCGGAAGAAGACAGAGACAAGAAGTGCCCCCAGTGGGGGTTCGCCCCTCAAGCCTGGCGAAAGAAACAAGCACGAAGGGGGCTCCCAGAGGGGCATCTTGCGCCGCAGCCAGAAATCCAGAGTGCAGCCTGGTCGGTACAAGACCAGCTCTAAATCGGAGCAACTGAAATGCCTGGCGGGGGGTTTGTCTTCAGATTTAGGTGCGTGTCTTGTTACAGAAAGGGTTTCTCCTCCAACTCAGGCCTTGCATAAGCCGGAGCTCGCATCAGACACACACACACACACAACCTGTGCAGGATTGCGTGCAGGGATGGGGTCGCGCCCTTCAATTGTCTTCGAGGAAGACGACAGAGAGACAGAGAGAGAGAGAGAGAGAGAGAGAGACAGAGAGACGCTATGGTTAAAGGTCAGGCTGGGGTCACTAGTTGCACTCACTCCAAACCGAGCTCCCCTGGCTGAACAGGCCCACTATAATTGGTGTTGCTGATGGAAGCTGGAGAGTCAGTAGGCATGTCGTAAGTTCTGTCCACAAGCTGTCGTGCTGCACTGTAAAGGGGGGTATAAGGCACACAAACTCCCCGCAGTACTGCCCTGAACATGTATGCTGCGTGAGTCGTGGAAGTGCCCTGTTCCCCCAAACCAGAGCAGACCACAAAGATGACAGTGTGGACCCGCCGAGGGAGATTGGTCCTAAATTCTGTCGTCAGGCAAGTCTAGGAAAACCAGCACAGGACCGATGCCCCAATTCAAGCATGTGTCCTGCGATGAATGACGAACCCTGGACTTGAATCTCAACATACATAAGATTTGCTGTGACCACGGCGTCAGCATTCTGGCTGTCACACTCCTCCAAAGCCCCATAACATATGGGAGACCCTGGTGGCCGGGGGGTCTCGCGCATCAGCGAAGCTTTGACAGCGTGTGCTGCACTGTCCGGCCGCAGGTAGCTTTGGAGCACAGCCTGTCAGAGTCAGACCAGCAGAAGGCAATGCCGTCACCTGGGCTGCAAGGCTTGAGGTAGTTCTGTTTCGCCAATCGGCTCAGATCAAAGAGTACCTGCAGCGGGACATGAAGCGCTGTGAAGAGGAGTGGTCAAAGGTTTGAAAATGCTTTCAGCTGTCAGTGTTTGCATGTGACTCTTGGTCCAGAGGAGCTGGAGATACTGAAGCCGACGTCAGCTCTTGCATCAGTCCCCGACCAGCTCATCGAGGCCCTGCCTAGGTTCAAGTGTGCAACGTTCTTTGACCGGCTTTGCCTTCGTCATGTCCTTACTAGAAGGACTCATGCGCTTCTGTTCTCTGATGCGGAACCAAGAGCTCCGGGGCCACATGTGACTCGCACGATGCTTCCCGGGACCTCCAGCATTGAAGCATGGCTCCGGCCATGACGCCGTTGCCAGCTTTCAGCTTTCCGCATGAGTCTTCGAGAAGGATCGAAAGTTGCCAGGTCCTTCAAGCCATGGCACAGGACGACATGCCAGAACGGTGGGCGCCTTCGGATCTCTCAGGCCTTGCGCCCGCGGCGCACTGCATTATGATCGCTGAGGTTCGAGCACGGCTACTCGCCTATGCATTGGGCAGCTCATCGAGGTCGCCGAGACCTTGTGGAATTCCTCCGTCGTCTTGTGGCCGCAGGCTGAGAGTGACTTACCAGGTGCAGACCCCGAGAAACCCACAACAATCCCAGCACCAATGCAAGTTTGCTGGTAATGCTTATCATCACCATCATCATCAGCATCATCTACAGAATATAAAGCATGCCATCATGACCGTCCTGTTCCTGACAATGGTGACAATCGATGGTGATGATGTTGAAGCTGCATGACCATGGCAATAGCGATGATACCTTCGCTGCTTCCCGGCCCCATGATGGCTGCTCGTCGGCCCAGGACAACGGCCACGGCCTCTTGTCATCCCGAGATGACCAAGGTGACCGGGCAGTGTGCACAAAACCTGCGCTGCCCATGGCTCCCTGCTCCGCTCTTGTGATGTCACGTCCGTCTCTCTCGAACCTTGGAACAGGTCGCACACCGCTCTTCTATGCCGAACGGGCGGGACGCACGGGCTTGGCCTACCACCTGCGCCGGGTGGGAGGCGGCAAGTCGAAGCCGCCAGGGAGTCGCGGAGCCACATGACTCGATTCGCCCTGAAGAGCTTCCGAAGATGCTTGCAGCCTGAAGTAGCAATCTGTGAAGTATTTCCCGGTCGCAGGCGAAGCGGACCCCTTCAGGCCTGGGGAGATCCCGAGGGTCCATCCTACTATCAGTAGCAGGCTTTCAAGAATACAGTGGCAATGCGAAGAGCCTAAGCTGGCCTCCATGAAAACTCCTTGTTTCGTATGAGTAAGATGGTCAGCACGCAGATTTCGAGAGGCTTCTCAAACACATCTCGATAAGGATTCGAGTCGAATGTGCTGCCGTTTTGATTGCACAGGCTCGGCTTGATCCTAGGGTAAGTGCGGCTACCACTGACACATGCATTGCTACCCCGCCGTTTACCGGCCCTGCCTGAACCTCAATATCGACTTGCTGAAGAAACGGAGACACTTGAATATTCAAACATACATTGGACCATGCGGCATTGGACAGCGTTAGAACTTTGTATAAGTATAGTAGCATGCAGCAGCTGTTGGTTCAACAATCTGCAAGATGTTAATACGACAAAGTCGCAGGCCACTCCCACGCATCAATACCCATTGTATGGTCCCGTGGCTAATTCTTCAAGGGGACTGTCGATGTAATCTTGTGTAGTTTTTCCCTTGACATTTTGGGCAAGGCCGGGATTGGGCTCATCTGTGTTTCTCCTGGAGAGGCCAGCTTCTGAGCGGCCGCAAGTGGATTCCTTGCCTGCTGCCTACCAGCAGGTGCAGCCGTCTCGGTTTTAAGGTTGTTGTTAGCTTCCTGCTTTTTGCGTGCTCGTCGCCCTCGCACGGAGAAGCACGTCGAGGGTCAGCGTCGACTGTTTATCAAGTTTGTGCGCCTTGAATGAGTGGTGTTGGACTTTGGTTGGTTCCCTTAGAGACTTCCTGGCCAGATCGGTATGTCTGTGCTCTAAAGAGACTCGCAGATAGATGGCTTCGATCTGCGCTTGCATCGAATGGTTGTGCCGCCTCGTCGAAGCTGTAAGCTCAAACCCCTGGCCCTGCTCTGTTGGAGTGTGCCTTCCGATTTTCCCATGCTGCAGAAAGTTGATGGACATCCGCCGCGAGGTTCGTGGCCTCAGTGCCGATCCGCGGCATGGGACCAAGGTCCTGGAGCACATTGCTCAAGGAGGACGCTGGTGGCGGGCGACAGAGATGTTGGAAGTCATGCGTTGTTTTCGGAAGGAGGTGAACAAGTTTCACCTCGGTGTGGTACTCAGCGCTTGCCAGAAGGGGACGGCGTGGTCGCAGGCTTTAGGGGCATTTGCAGAGGCAGAGAAGACCACAATCTCAGCCAGCTCAGTCATCAGTGCTTGTCGGGAAGCCGAGCATTGGAATCTGGCCCTGTGCCTGGTCTCCGCGAAGATGCGTAGTATGCGGCTTCCGCCGAGCCTCGTCAGCCTGAACGCTGCCACGTCCGCGTGCGAGAAGACGGGGCTCTGGAGGAGCGCCTTTTGGTTGCTGAAATCCAAAGCGAAGGCCTGGAATCTGCAAGCAGACACCATCAGTTTCAACGCAGCGCTGAGCGCCTGCGAGAAGGCGGCAGACTGGACAGCAGCCCTGGAGCTTCTCTCGGAGATGCGATTCACATGTACGAAAAGAAGCAAGATTACCTTTGGAGCACTTGTCAGTGCCTGTGAAAAATCAGAGCAATGGCACTGGGCCACGGATCTTCTACTCTCCATCATGGCAGAAAACCTGCAGCCACACCTGAGGCTCTGTAACGGGCTCTTGAGTGCGTTTGGCAAAGGCCTTCAGTGGAAATCTAGCCTGGGCTTGGTCGCACGATTGCAAGAATTCACTCTGCTGCCCGACACCATCACCTTCAACGCTGCAATTTATGCTTGCGAAGAAGCGCAGTGGCTGTCTTCTCTGTCACTTCTTCACAGCATGGCATCTTCAAGGTCCCGGCCGAATGACATCACTTACAATGCGGCTGCCGAATCGCTGGCCGGCCATTGGCTTTCTGCGGTGCAGTGTCTCACAGAGATGCACGTGGCCAGATTGACAGTGGATGCCTTAACCCAGAGTGCAGTCATTCAAGCATGCACTCATGCTCAGCAGGGTGAAATCGCGATTCACATGCTGACGCATATGTCGCATGCGTGGATGAGTCGCATGAGATTGGGGCAAAAAGGGCTTCTCGCCGACCAACATGTACTCGTACTGCGCTGAGATCATCCACCATGTTCGTTCTGTCAGGTCCTGCGGCAAGTCGAGACCAGGGGATGGCATTCCATGAAGTGGAAGGCCGCCGGTGCGAAAGTTGCATGAAGTCGCTGGACTCCTGCGAGACCAGAGACTTAGGACGCTAGTTTTACGCGTTCGCTGCATTCGGCATGCCAGGAGGACTACACCATGCTGCACTGGGCTTCGAGCAAAGGCCACAAGGAGATGAGAGACGGCCAAAGCGACGTGTTTGGTTTCGCAGTCATCTTGGCTCATTTTTCTCAGGATCTCGCCATGTACCTGATCAGTCTCAATGCTAACCCGAACGACCTTGACAGCAAGGCAGGCTTCTTTTTTATCGCGCTGTCCGGACAGCCTACGTAAAGTCTGACAGATCGTGAATTCCTTCCGGCACCCCAATCCAGAAAGCCCGTTCTGAAGTCTCTGCGTACTGCCGTCAGGGCCGCACGCCCGCCGCCTGTGCCACCGAAGCCGGCCACATGGACCTAGTTGCTGCTCTGCAGGCCCAGGCAAGCATCAAGGGTACGTCGTGCTTTCCTCTCTGCGTTGTCGTCAGGTCATCGACAGCACCCTTCTCGTCTTCGCCGTTGTCGCCGTCGTAGGGCTGGGTGTCGTTGAGTTCTTTGGCGTCATCGCCGTCATCGCTGCAGTTGTTGTTCTTGTTGTTCTGGGTCGGTCGTTGCAGCTTCCGTCGTGAGTATGGGTGTGGTCGAGAAGCCTGGAGTGCCTGTTGGTGTGTGGTGGTGGTGGTGTTTTATTTTGGCGCAGACGAGGTCCTAGCTTTTGGTTCAGGCGCCACGAACACTAGGCCAGAGCAAATCGTGCTCTGGCCAGGCCCGAGAGCGAATTTCTCACAGCATCCGGAGGATGAGGGAATGAATTTATGTATGTATGTCTGTATGTGTGCATGCATACATGCATGCATGTGTAGGCTGGCTGGCTTGCTTGCTTACTTTCTTGGTTGGTTGGTCGGTCGGTCGAATTCCTTCCTTCCTTCGTATGAACTATGTCACATGTCTGGATGTATGTATGTATGTATCTATCGACGTACGCACGTAGAAACGTACGTAGGTAGGTATGTATGTCTGTGTGTTTTTTTGTTTTTTGTTTGTTTGTTCGATTGCTTGGTTCAGCCGACAGACAGCCGCTGATCGACTTTATGCTTGATTGCGGCTGCTCCAGGCCACTGTTCCCCGGAAATCCTTTGCTCATGGGGCCTTCGGTGGCACCGAATGAAGAGGCCGCTGGCATGAAGAAGCTGTACTTTGCCGAACTATCCATTTTGACATACAGTCCGTTGGGGTAATGTCACCGCCGGCTAACCTATTCTTAACGCTGCTGCTGCTCTTTGCTTCCACTGCCACGGGGGCTCTAGGGCGGGCTGGGGAATTCCTGAGTGATGTCGCTTGGGTAGATTTGCTTCTAGGCTGCCCAATATGCAACCCGAAGAACGCTCAGGTCGTGTGCCAACTTGAAAGACTATGCCAGCATAGACCCCAAGCAGTGAAGCAATATCTAGGAGTCGGAAGCCTTACATGAGGCTGACAAGACCTCGCCATGGATGCAAAATGCCCGCAAGACTATGGCGGCAGCAAGATAGGCACGTCCGAACGACAAAGGTGTGGCAGGAGCACAACTACGGCAGGCCGAGATGCACGGAACTGCGAAGGGAGCATGCTTAAGTATTTGGATCTGGAAGCATGAACCGGACCCAAGATAGGAGCGGCACTGTTGCGATGTGGGAAGACGATGCGTGCCCTAAAAGACGACGACATCGTGGCGGTAGCCGATTGCCAACTTCGGACAACGACAGTGCGATTGAGAACTGCGGTCCCACACTGCGGAGCCGCAAAGAGCCGAATATAGTGGAGGTCTTTAGCGACTTGAAAGCCAAAATGGGCACTCGAACATGCACACGGCAGTGTGGCAAGAGCATGCAAGTGAGCACCAAAACTGTGGATTTTAATTTGGCATCTCTGCAGATGCGGCCGTCACTTGGGAGTTCATGTCACGCACAGGTAGTCGAGCATGTTCATGCCAAAGCTACCCCGAGCACGTGACGCCGTCATTATTCACTCAAGCTGAGGTAAGAACCCGTCGTGTTGTCATCCTGTTTGGGGAGCGAATCCTAAACCCTGACTTGCCTGGTTCACCTGCAATCTCGATTCTAGATGTCGACATGCTCGCGGTCCAGCTACTTGTCTGCAGGACACGAACAGAGATCACCTGAAGAATGTGCAGAAGGTCCCGCCAGTCATCGCTCTCCCACTGCTCGCTGAGATGGCTGGGTGCAAAGCCGCTCGTACCAGTGCCGGTCCTGTGCCGCTCTCATGCCTTGCTACTAGCCGGGCTGTTTTCTGTGCGAATCGTGTGCACTGGTGGGCCGGCTTGGTGCCTTCGATTGCCATCTCATCTTTGAGGGGTTGTAGCGCGAAGTATTCGACTGCTGTAGGCTTTCACAGCTCTGTTGAAGCTACGGAAAATTTGACTGTGCTCTTCGAGGCCCAGGCCGAGTCAGCCAAACCCAACCAAGCCGCCTGTCGTTTGGCCAAGCGGGGTTGGACCGAGTGAAGTTCTTTTCCCAAGATCGCTCTTCTAATTAATCCTCCTTTGATCTTTGTGGTGCTCTCCCGCCGCTCTGAATCTCCATTGCTTGAATGAGAACGATTACGCAAATGCATCTCGCCATCCGCGACTCTGCAGGCTAAAAAAATTGAAACGCGCCATTGCGAGGGTTTCAGTTGAACCGCCGTGCGCGAAGCCTGCCATGATTGCCGCAGCATGTTGTTTGGTCCAAAGCTTCGGCGTCCATGGTGGGAACCGATGGGGGAGGCTCGCAGATGTGTTGCCCATGATGATGTAATTACTATACTATACTATACTATACTATACTTTTTACTATATAATACTATACTATACTATACTATACTATACTCGTATTTATGGCAGGGCTGTCAGTGGGTTGCTCAGGTCCTGGCTCCTCCGCATCGCAGCCGCTGCTGCCCTCCGTAAGTAGCGTGCAGCCACTGAGGCTCCACTTTGATGCCATCCGTGTGATAGTACCCAAAATAGTAGGATCCTTGTTATAAGGATGCCCAAATAAGGTACCCCATGGCTTTGTGGAGATTTCACTGTGCTGCCTTTATTCGCAAGCTGCCGGTTTACGTGGACTCCTTTTGGTGCTGATCCTTTCATGCAATCGGTCGCACATGCTTCTCAACACCCGAGAAGCTTCAACACACGGCTGAATTTCTTGGACCGTATGCCAGACCTGTGAGTCAGGCAGCAAATCGGTTCTGTACTCGCCCGACCGCCACCACTGAGCAGATTTGGTTGATGCGGGCATTCGCGTTGAGCGAAGCACAGCACCACGAGTCGGGAGTCAAGTCCAGGCGCCGCTCCTCTCTTTCGAGTCGACAGCGTGCAAGTGCTGCAGAGCTTTGGGAGGCCAAACCCTGGTTATCCTTGCAGGGGCTACAAGTACAGTAGCGGGAGCATCTAGGACTCCAGGCATCTTGTGTTCACAGTGGCTGGTCTTTTCGACCCTGTTTTGTGTTAGGCGACGCTGCGGCAGAAGCTGGGGACGCCGGGCCCTGCTCCGCCAAGGGAGGCGTTGCAGGGGTCCCGGAGTGGCCATACGACTCCATGAGTGAATGCAGGAAGCAATTTGCGGAGTGCTTTTGCCAAGGCCAAGCCTCTACGAGCATCGCCCCGCTGTGGCGTGGAGTCCCAGGGTGGCCGTGTGGATTGCGCATCTGAGGTGTCCCACGGAGAGGACGAAGTAGAGGTGAACGAAGACTCGGGAGGGCACCCTGCAGGGAAGAAATTACGACATGCCTCTGTGGTCTGCCACACCCTGCAAAGTCACACCAAGCTGTCTGGAAGGTAAGAGACAACGGTGATTCGGTGACCGCATATGGCGACAATTTTAGCTGTGACCGTGCCGAGGCTTCCAAGGTGGCGCAGTCTGTCGTGCCCTCCACGGTAGGCCCGTCAGCGCTGGTGTCTCAGAGGTCCAGACATCTGGCAGTCGGCACATCCACTTGGCCTGAGGTCTGTCGTGGCATGGTTCGCGCAGTACCAGTGTACCAAGTGTGGGCAAGTTCCAACTTCACTGGCTCGCAGCCCAGTCTCCAGGGATGACCGTATCATCTGCGATGGCAGTGTGGTCCAGCCGATCCATCCCTCGCGACGCACAGGATGCCCGCTACTGCCACAACTGTGGGGCGCCTCTCCCGCTTCCCCGAGTGCCTGCCGTAGCCTGGACCCCTGCACTCCACATCACGGCTAATGCCGTGCCTTATCAATGGGAGTCGGTTAACTAGGCTACATGCTTTGCATGTGGGAGCCACGCTCGGCAAGGAGTTTGCACATACTGAGGTTGCCCTTCTCTTGATCAGGGCTTCGTTACATTATAGCCATTTGCTTCTGCTTGTCACTTTGCGGCGTGCTGTCCACATGTGTCAAACATTACATATGCACGCTTCTTTTGCTTTTCTGTCAGCCCGCCAGTCTGCATTTGTTCAGCAGGACCCGATCTTCCCAAGTGAGCCTGTAGTTGCCGGTATTGAACCGGAAACTAAGCGATTGCGCTGATGGTCCTTTCACCACATCAATCCGACCGAAGCTTTGTTTGAACTTTGCGTCGCTTTTCAGGTCACCGGTGAGAGCAGTCGTGTTGCCATCAATCTCGGCGAGGCCACACCAGACATTGCAACTAGCAGTAAGCATAGCCGAAGTTTGCTGGATTTCCATTTCCGCGGTGTGATCAGGTTGCTGCAGCAGCTGCGCTGGAAGCCATCCACCAGGAGGGTGCGATGAGAGGAGCTGGTGGAGGCGGTGGCGGCAGCCAACTGGCTGCACGTTCCGAGCCCAACCTTCACGCGCCACAGCGGCCGGTGGCTGAGGTGCGGGAGTGCTGTGTCGAAAAATTGGAACTTCAATGCAGTGGGTTGGCACTTCGACAAAGTGATTTGAGGTGGCAGCTCCCGAATTAGATAAGTTGGCAGTGTATGGCAGCTCGTCATGTGGTGATGTTCAGCACAATTTGCACATGCACTGTGCATGCAACGCCTTGCTCTTGCACTTTGTCAGCCAGGACAGGCCCAAAGACACACAAAGCACTGCTCCAGCTCGCTCAGCGGCGGCGTCCCGGATGCAAAAGTGCGGAGATGCATAGAAGGCACACAGAATGAAACACAAGGGCCCAAGGACAAGGAGGGATTCAAAAACTAACACTTGCCATGGCCAACTGCGTCCTCATGCCATGAGGGGAAGTACGATGGCCCTCCGAAGTGCCGAAAGCATCGAGGCCTGTAGCTTTCAGATGCTTCCTTCGAGTCGGGGTTGGCTACGGATTCGTGTTTGATTCAGAGCCGCCAGTGACCGCTAGGGTCCGCGTCACATCCCTCGCATCAGAAGCAACTGCATTTGTCTGGCTGGTCGTTTCGTAGCACCTTCGTCAAAGCTGGAATTCTGCTTTTCAGATGGCGGCAAGCGACTGCTGCAAGCCCCAGGCCTGCCAGTGTCCGTTCCGTTTGCTTCTACTTCCGGAGCGCCAAGAACCTTGTGGAAGCATGTAGAATGTGTCGAAAAATCCTCTGTGCAGGCCGACCGCAGCCCGGGCGGCCGAAAGAGCTGCCGTAACCTTGCTTGACAGTTTTCAGGGCTGGCAGAACTGGATTCTTACAGAGCCGAGGGCCTGCGCAGCCGTACCGGGGGGGAGATGTCCAGCCCGCGAGTGCAGCCACTTGAGCATCGAGCACTTCTTTCAGGGCGACCACCTGTCCTGCCAAGCTGTGGTTTGATGAGCTAAGGTGGGGCACGCGGGAAAGCCAGGCAGGAGTATCGCAGAAAGGAGTCGAGAGTAAGATTCAATCATCGGCGGGTTGCCAAAGCATCGCGGAGAGGCGGTCGCGCTCACATCTGCATAACGCTCTTAAACATGGTCTCATGCTGGTTTCAAGGTGGCACATTGGCTGGATAATATTCGGCCAAGGCGGCCATGATCCTAGCCTTGCTCTCAGCTCGTTGAACTACTTTCAGTGACCACCTGCACTCCGTTTGAAGATGCAAACTGTCTGGTAAGGCAAGGCTACTCCTCGAATGTCTTCAGTATGTCAAAATTCACTGTTCTGTTGAGGCTTGAATTGCTGGCTCGGCGACTTTACTGTCTTTTATGTTTCACTTCTGCGCACCCCAACGGGAATTCATCTGCTCAGCAGAAAGCCTGCTCACGATGGTGGGCTCGTTAACGACAGGAAAACACAGTACCAAGCTGCTCGAATCGTTGCAAACAAAACGCCAGTTCGATTCCTTCACTTGAAGATCCTGTTGCGTAGGAGCCATTCCAGCACAAGGTCCATTGTCTCAGCAAGCATGAATCAATCACAGAGTTTGCATACAGAAGGGGGCATTGCTTGCACTGCATGTCATTAACGTTCCCGTGCTTGGCATGTTTCCTCGACCGGGCGGGAGCGCCAACCAACCTAAGGAGCACCCGATCATGTAAGCCTATTGGAAGCCAAACCTTGATTGAAAAGCCTGCAGTTTGGACACCGGGTTGAATTTACGAATTCATCCTTATCAACATGGATAAACTTCGGATACACCCGAATCTCGCCTTCGTGCAAGATTTCGGTGACGCTCTGGACTTTCAGATGTTCTGAGATGAATTTGCTTTCATTTAGAGATGCTACGGGGCTGGTCTTGGCTTATGATCATGGTGGCCATGATGGATGAGGTTGAGCAACTAGGTTTATCTGCATCTGAATCTTGAGGGGGGCCTGTCTAGTCAGTTTCGAGTACTGCAGGGGGTCTGTTTTTTGAATGTGTGGCAGCTGTGGCTGGGCATCCCTGTTCTCAAACTCTAAGCGTCATGACATCGCACCAGTCACGAACCAGATGCAGGTGCACAGCAGAAAACCTCAGGTGACAATACTACAAGGCATTTACAAACCAACAGCTGTACAGGATTTGCCAACCGTGAAACTCCAGCGGGGATGCAATCCGGGGGATGTTGTGTCTACGTCGTATTGCATCGCTCTTGCTACCTCTGCTGTGCATGTAGACAGTGTTCGTGGTAAAATCCGGAAATGTCGGCGATGCAAAGCTGCCCAAATTTGCGACGACTTGGAAAGAAGTAAGAGATCCCCGGAACAGAGTTCGGGCCCCCGAACTCAGGGTTCGAATATAGAAGTTCCCTCCGAACCCTAGGTTCGAACTTAGAGTTGAACTCCGAGTTCAACTCAACTTCTGAACTCTCGAACTCAGAGTTGAACTCCAGACGGACTGGAGTTCGAACCCTGGGTTCGGAGCCGGAAGTTCAATGCCTGCAGCTCCTGTTGGCTCAAAGGGGTCCACGGCTGTTTTGGCGCAAGACGCTCAGTTCAGTATCACTTTCCCTGCGGGGTTTGCTTCCTGTGTTGCCGGCAGGGTGAGCTGGAGCGGTGCTTTGCTTGCCCCAGCTGACAGTCCTTTGTCTTGAGGCGTGGCTCTCATGGCTGCAGGACTCTTCAGGCGCCGCGAGACAGCGAGAGAGAGAGAGAGAGAGAGCAGAGAGGAGTTCGAAGCACAGACAGATGACAGATGCTGTTTGCACGCGCCTGAGACCTACGATGACCGGCCGAAAGAGCGCAGCTGCTTTGTCACTCGGCTGCACGGAGCAGATCCTCCACTGGATGCAGCCCCCTGGCCCTGACTGCCTTGCGACAGGATTCTTCTTCCATGTGCTCTCCTGTTGATTTTCGGCACCTGGGGATCTTCGGCAGCGGCGTTCCTCAGCGTTGCAGCCTCGATGTACGGCACATGGTAGATCAAGGGCATGTTCAGAGACACGGCATGTTCATTTCAACCCACCGCGCATCCCACACTTGGCAAAGCGAGCCTCGTGCCGATTCTTGCATAATTCAAGCTTGCACGACTCCTCCGGTTGTTGTTCTTGACACTTGGGTGGCTTACTGGCTGCTGTTGCGCTACTGCTACTGCTACTACCGCTACTACTACTGCTGCTGCTGCTACTACTACTGCTACGACAACTACCACTACTGCCACTACTACCACTACTACCACCACTACCACTGCTACTGTTACTACCACGACTACCACTACTAGCACTAGGACTACTAATTTCGACCACCACTGCCAAACCCCACTACCCGCCACTCGTACCACTCCTACGACTGCTACCATTCCACTACTAGCGCTACTAGTATTTCTCGCACTACTAGCACCCTAACGACGGCTCCGACCAGTTTGTTGCCTAGCACTACTTGCACCACCACCACCACCACCACCACCACCACCACCACCACCACCACCACCACCACCACCACCACCACCACCACCACCACCACCACCACCACGACTACCACGACTACCACTACTACCACCACGACTACCACTACTACCACTACTACCACTACTACCACTACTACCACTACTTCTACCACTACTACTACTACTACTACTACTACTACTACTACTACTACCACTACTACTACTACTACTACCACTACTACTACTACTACTACTACTACTACTACTACTACTACTACTACTACTACTACTACTACTACTAGGCCTGCTACACTGCTGCAGAACGACTCGTGCCTTCAGCCCAGTCGAACAAAAGGCCCCATAAAACGCTCCAATGTACCGGCACTGCCAGTGTTTTTGGCAACAAGAAAACCATTGCGCTACTCTTAGTGCTACTGGTACTGGTACTGCTACTGCGACTGCTAGTGCCGCTGCTGCACTATCAGTGTACTGTGCTACTGCTACTGCTACTGCCACTGCCACTGTTACTGCTACTGCCAACACAGGAAAATCGAGCCACTGTGCGCGCCCCCCCGCCTGACGACCCCCGCACCAGTGGAAGAAAATGCTTCGAAAACACACGAAAATCGAGCCACACCGTGGGGATTGCGTTTTCGGCAAAAATCGCGGTTCAGCATGTCGTGATTGACACCCCCACCAAACCCTCCCCTCCCAGTCGAACAAAAGGCCCCATAAAACGCTCCAAAGTACCGGCACTGCCAGTGTTTTTGGCAACAAGAAAACCACTTGCGGTCGACCATGTCGTTATTAACCCCCCCACCCCCCACCCCCCCCCCCAACCCAAAACCTCCCCGAAACACTTGAAAACAGAGCAAAACACCAGGCGCCAGGAGGCGCGCATGGGTACTACTACTACTACTACTACTACTACTACTACTACTACTACTACCACCTGCCACTTCTACCACTACTGCCACTACTACCACTACTACCACTCCTACCACTACTAGCACTCCTGTCGCTACCACCGCTCCTACTACCACTACTACCACTACTACCACTTCTACCACTGCTCCCACTGCTACCCCTATTACCACTTCTACCACTACTACCACTACCGCTGCCACTACCGCCACGGCTCCTGCTCCTGCTGCTGCTACTGGTCCTGCAACTTGCCTACCGCTGCTGCCACTGCTACTGCGACTGCTGCTGCTGCTGCTGCTGCTGCAGCTGCCACTGCCACCGCCACCGGCACTGCCACTGGCACTGCTACTGCTGCTGCTGCGGTTGCTGCCGCTACTAAACGGCTACCGCTGCTGCTGCTACCGCAGCTACAGGCCTCCCCGGCCGGTCGAAGCGCACTTCGTGGACCACAGCTGCACCCAGTGCAGGAGCCAAGGCCTGGGATGTATATGGTTGTTCATAGTCGGTGATGGTGGTGAATGCAATGATGGTGATGCTTGAGACACCCGGAGGCTCATGATCCCTGTCCCAAGCGAATAGTTGATACCTGGAAGATTGTCTAGGGACTGAGTCTGTGTGGCTGCCTTTCGTTCAACATCAATGACAGAGCTTATGCCTGTGGAGGCTCTCCAGTGAGCGAAATTGCACGCTGGATGCATTGAGAGTAAAGCAGCCCTACCACAGAGATGCAAGTTATCTTCCACTTCTGCTTACGCACAAGCTTTCTCAGTGGACTCGGTTTGTGTTTTCACGCTGCGAAGCTGTTGCGACAGGGCCGCCGCCATGTGCGGCTCTCTGCCACTCGCCATGCTCTCAGCCCCTCCGAAGATGAATTGAACTCGTTGGCCAGTCTCTGGCACTGTTTTCATTCGCAAATTTCGACAAAGAACACGAATCTGCCAGATGCAGCTTTCACCACCGAATGTCTGACTCATGTCAAGCGTTCTTCGTGTGGTTTGCACGCTAATGCCAGCCGTTCTCTGTTGGAGAAAACTACCTGTGCCGGAGTAGGTCGGCCTCGCTGCAGCAGTGGGCTGCATTATGGCTGCCGGGAGCTCAGAGCACTGTGAGCAATATGCATTCCGAATCCTGTAGGGCTTTACGTATGGCTTTGGGCGATGTGTTCCTTTCTTCATGAGCGCATTCTCCACCCTGCTGGCTTCCCAAGGCACGAAGCACTGTCCAGCGTCGGTACACGGGCAGCTACAATATGGACGGGCGCTGTTGTCTGTTGAACGATAGCGGCACTTCCAAGCTTGGTCCTTTGCACCGGCCAGGATCCGCGCATTGGAGCCGGAGAGCCCACCACGATGACGGAGGATGAGAAGGACCGAAGTGCAATCAAAGTCTGACGGTGTAGCAGCCGATGCACCTCAGCGCAAGACAGGCCGAGTGGCTGGAGAAGAAGACCGCTGAGCTTGAAGAACTCATGCCCATGACGGACATCGAGTTCGAGGACATGGCGTCTTGGCTTCTCTGGACTCCTTTTCGGGAAGGCCCCTAAGGCTGCTGCTGTGTCTCAGATCCAACTCGCAGCTCGAACACTTATGGCAAGTCTTTTTTGCCTTTGGCCGTTCCTGGCGTTCACGCATCGAGTGTGAGGTTTCAGAGCAGACCTGGCAGTGGCTGAGCTCAGCTGTCCAGCATTGCGGCAGCTTCAACTCCAAACTCTTTGCATGGTTGATCGGAAAAGTTTGTGGTCATGTCTGCCCTCAGCGTGCTTTATGATAGTTCGAGATGACATGCTGGCATTATAGACTATGCCAGGTTGCAACGCAACTGCCTATTGCCTATGATCTCATGGATCTTGCTTAGCAAAGGTGTGAGGTTTCGGTTGCAGACCCTTCGCTCAGCTTCCAGGTCCATATTAAGCACACTGAGGTGGGCGCGTCACTTGCTGCCTTTCCAGAACAGACGGCGGCACGAAATAGCCGAGTTCAAGCGAAGATGCATTCTCAAGCAGTGCTGCCGGCCAGCTATTCGGCTCTGTGGGCTCCAGAGTTGACGAATTTGTTGCTATTGACCAACCCTAAACTTTAACCCCTCGAGCCAAAACCCATAAACCCCTAGATCCGAAAAAACCCTCGACCCTAAACCCCTACAGCCCATGGCAGGCCTGAGCTCTTCAAGAAGCTGCGTTTGTGGCATCCGCTGGCCCTGAAATACCCGACAGTCATCCGGAGGCCAGAGGTGCCGGAAAACATGGAAGTAAGTCCAAATAGGACTTGACGTCTTTCAACATTCCGAAACCTCCATGCAAGCGAATCTCTGCCACGAAATGTAGATTCGAGCTACTCCCCATGCATGCTGCATCCTTTGCAATCTCGTATAAGTTGACGTCTGACCGTGCAAACGGTCGAAGGTTTGACAACCTCGGACCATCGGACATCGAGAACCGCGACTTGATGATCGATGTGGAGTGCACCTCTCAGATGCCAATGATGTGTGTCCAAAGCTCGCAGAGCAGGTTCACCTCTGTAATGTGGCCCGTGCGAGGATGCTTGCCAACACAGAGAAGATCGCCGGCTTCACGTACCGGGACAGTGCCCAAGTAACTTTGGCCGACTTATCCCTTCTCTTCGCCAGTCGTGCAAGCGCTTGCTCGCCGCAGCTATGGCTCCATATGCGATAGACAGAGAGAGCCACGAGCTTCGTCAGGTCCGTTTGTCCATGACCCTAGTCCACCAGGCATTGGAAGCTGTACTTCTGTACTTCTGGTCGTTCAGAGTCACCCATGCGGCTGCATGTACGAGACTGGCCGCTGAAGACTCAACCCGAAAACAGCTTTGGCTCTGCCATCGTCTCGAGATACACAGCTCAGCCTTGAAGTTCAGCGTACCGGATCTCTGCACACGCCCATCTCTGTCCCATGGAACTTCGCTCGCTGCGGCATGGTGCGGCTGGGACAGGGGAAATCTGAGAAGCATTTTCTTCGGAGTCTAGTTTGGACGCAGAATCACACCCGCCCGCGCCACTTCAACCAGCGAGTCGAAGCAGGTGATCAAAACGTGATTGCAGAGTGAGGCTGCAGGTTCATGCCATGCTTCATGTAGCTGAACACCCTAGCTGTAGCGGAAAGGCCTTTTAAGTTTCCTCTCTTCGACACGTCCTGTGTCACATGCCACGAGGTTTGGAGCTGGGCAGGGTGCCTTCGCGGGAGCGGTTTCTGCTGCGACCTCAAATTAGGTACTCGCAGGATCCGAGAGAGCTTGGACTTTTCCAGCATGTTCAGTTGAGTTCAGCTTCAACGTTCGACCAGGTTGGTGATTTAAGTCGCACATCCACTCGGGGGGTTTCTGCGACTTGAGCAAGACAACGGGAGACCAGGAGTCGAGACTGTGCCAGGTTTTTCCGGCTAGAAACACTTCAGTTTCGAAACAACTGGCACGTGAATCTCTGTCGGCATGCCCCTTGATCTCAGTTGGTGAATGGCGAGTTTACAGTGACAAAGCTGACCAGAAGCAATCCGCGATGCAGATTGGCATCACCAAGTAGTTGGGCTTGTCTTCCTAGTATGTTCCTTCTTATTCTTGATAGAAGCAGTGAAACCTTATTCGTGCAACGAGTTGAAGAAGGGTCTCTCGTCGATGGAGTTCTTGCAGCTAGAAGCTCGACAGAGCTGGAGAGCTCTCATGCACTTTGCCTTAACCTGCGGCAGTCTTCGTGCTCGAAGACTGAAGCACCAGATCGTCAGCTGAAGTTCAAGGTCCCTGGTTGTTCGACTTTTGGGCCATGCTAGGCTATGTCAGTATTTCTTGCAGACGGAAGCAAGAAACGTGGTATTCTTGGTTGTGCTGAGGCGTCTCCCTTTGCAGGTGGTGCTTCGCCCTTCGCAGGCTTCCCGCTTTGCGCCTGTTGCAGCCTTTGCAGGAAAGTTATCTTTCTCACCGGTCTAGTTTGCATCTTGTTGCATCAGCACCTGTTTTGTGAATCTTTTCCAGCCCGACCTTGGACAGGTAATGTCGGTGGTGGTGCCTCCGCATCGCCTTTCGGTGGTGGCGGTGGTGCAGCGGCCTCACCTTTCTCAGCAGCTGGCGTGCCTCCACAAGCGTCGCCCTTCGGATCTGGCGCGGTGTCCCCGTTTGCGAATGCCGGATCGGCGCAGCCATCGGCCTCGCCATTTGGTCAAGGTGGTCCAAGTCCGTCACCATTTGCTGGCCACTCTGCCTCGATAGGGGGCCCTGGAAACCATGCTGCTTCACCCTTCAGCGGAAATCCCGGAGGTTTGTCTGCATCACCATCGCCGTTTGGTGGGCAAGGGAACACCCCTTCCCCGTTCAGCGGTGCAGCGAACGTGAGCTCCACTCCGCCCACGGCGCAAAGAAGCTCATCGCCCTTTGCGGCAGGCCCGAGCCAAGCTCCCAGTGCCGCTCCGATTGGTGCCGGGTCTGTAGCATCGCCCTTCGGGGCACAGACACCCACTGCCTCGCCGTTTGCTGGCGGAAACAGCTCTGCGACTGCGGCGAGCGCCTTACCTTTCGGAGGTCAGGCTGTAGCAGTCGGACCCTTCGGAGGTCAAGGAGCAAGCATAGCAAGCTCAGCATCTCCTTTCGCTGCTCAAAGCTCTAGCTCGCCTTTCGCTGCTGGGTGCTCTGGTGCGTCGCCTTTTGCGCAGAGTGCCAATGCTCCAGCTACAGCCTCTGCGAGGGCTCAAGGCACCACAACCTCACCCTTTGCGACTCCGGCGCAGGGCACTGCCAGCACATCCCCCTTTGGCAATGCGCCAACGAGTGCTGTGGCGTCTCCCAATGCGCCGGCCGGCGCGTCGCCGTTTACGAAGGCCACGGCGCCAGCGCCTTCTGCAAAGGCCTGGGCAGAGTGTAAGAAGAGACCTGGTACGCTTGTGCTGCTCGCCGTTGCAATGTGCGCGTCATGTCTCCTCAGAAACAAAGCGTATTGGAGCACACGTCTGCCGTGATAGGCTGGTGCTGCATCGAAGGACGCGAAGGACGCTAGAAGTTCAACATAATGCTCGACTGCAGGGGGAAGGGGGCAACAGGGTAATGCCTGCTTGAGGGAAATCTTGACTTCCGGACCCTGAGTGCAATGACATCTCATAATCTGCGAGTTGCAGGATGTGCTGCCAGAGCTGCTCCGGAAGGTCGACTGGCAGCTCACAAGCTTTGGCATGGACAACCAGGTGAGACTCTGCAGCCGAGAGTTGGAATTGAAAGCTAAACTGACGCTGCTTCTTTTCAGATCTTGCAGGTCTTTAGGGGGTCGCGTGTAGTCCAACGGAGCTATGAGGGCACGGCTCGATCTAGGCATAGAGGGAAGTGGCTCTGCGAATTGGGTGCGTTGGGAATGCGGTTCGGGATCAGCCAAAAGGGTACAGATGAAGCGGCTCCTGTTTCCGCAAATGAGTTTTGCACGCCCGAAGAGCAGGATTTACATTCATCTTGGCAGGTCCACCGAAGCCAGTTAGCTAGTCGATCGTTGGCCAATGTCAGAATCAGAATCCTTAACGACATCATGGCGCCGACAACGACAGACTCCGACACAGACCTGCTGCCTGAAGGGAAGCTATTCATCTACCTCTAGCATGCAAACCTTGCTCGTTGAATGCTGTAGGCATGTGTGGTCACCAACGACACCTCCTTCGAGGACCCGCGCCGAGGGTGAACTATTGAGAGGGCTCATGAGCATGAACCTTGAGAAGCCACGACGCGATCTTGGTCGAGTTGCGCTTTGCCTGCCGACTCTTAGGAGCATCGCTGGCTGATGCTACAGCAGCCGCGTGGGGATTGGGGTAATCTCTCTGACAAGCTTCTCAGCGAGAGCAAGCAGAAGTTCACCACTTACTTGTCTGGCTTTTCTGATGCTGCAGCACCGTCCCAGGCACAGGCAGGGAGGAATCAGACGAAATCGTATCTGTCGAGCAGGAGACCCTAGTCTCAATCTCAGAATGTGGGGGCCAGGATGCAGCCAGCGCCTCCACAAGGGCACCTTCGCCTTTCGACGGTGCGTCACGGAGCTCGTCGCCCTTTGGTGCTGCGTCAGCATCAGCGGGGGGTTCGGCAGGGGCCTCGCCCTTCGGTGCTTCAACTCCCTCGCCCTTCGGGGCAACGGGCACCAGCGGCACCAGCGCGTCTCCCTTTGGGCCAGGCGGCAGCCAGGCCAGGACTGCCGGGACTGATGGAGTTGCTGCGGAATGTGGTCGGGATGTGAGCGGCGCAGGCACCGCAGGCACCAAGCACGGGCCCCTTTGCTCAACGCAGCGCATCGCCGGGTCCTTTCGCCGCTTCGAGCTCGCCCTTCGCCGCTGGGCCGTGCGCTTCGCCGTTTCAAAGCTCTGGGCAGGCCTATCTGCTTTGAACTCGTTACGTCCGATGTCTCTAACCTGGCGCAGTTGCTGCAGTCAAGTTGGGTGCTTTGCTTCCTCAGAGAGCAACTTATGGACTTATGGGGGGGATCTTGCCAGCTGCTACAGTTGCCGAGCAAGAACTCGAAACGAACGAACGCCACGCGCAAGCCACAAGGCATGCAAGAAACAGTGTTTTTGCTCTCAGTCTTTCCTGCAGGGCACACCTCCCTCGCCTTTTGCTCCGTCGCTGGGCAGCAGAGCATTGAACCGGTGATTGGTAAGCCCGAACTACAGCAGCTTTCCTTTGGGCTTGTAGGGTTTATGTTTGATTTTTTTCGCTCCACTATGGAGTAGTACTATTCAGCTTCTCAAGCTTCTCTGCATTCCGCCCTGATGCACCAGAGATAATCCCAACAGGAGTTAACCTCATATCATGGCAACAGCCCACGCAAATAGCAATCTGGCCTTGTCGGGCTCCTCCAGCCTCAAGCTTCAAGGACGCTGTGCGGAACTATGCTAAAGTCTGTTTTGCTTGGTCTTGGCATCGAAGTTGCTTAGGTCCTATGCAGCCGCATCTGCTTCGGTGCCATACGATGCGGTGGGCTCTTGCAGTATGATAAGATTCGAAGGCTTCCAGTGCTGATTCAGAGCTTCCGGACATGACCTGTTGACAGTTCGCCAACAGGCAGCTTACGATTTGCTGTGCCACGACCAGCACACCAGTAGACCAGCGCGTGTTCTGTCTACGTTGAAGTGGCCAGGGTGTGCGGTATGGCTTGCCCCCCCTGCAGATGAGGCCCAGGACCAAGTGGAGTAACAGTCGAAGATATACCTCAAGCGAAGTTGGAGCCAGGGCAGCTAGTGTTACTGTCGCCGAGGCCGCACGAGGAAACAGAGCTGGCTCAGGAGGAGTTGCAACTCGTGATCGCTTTTTCGGCCGCTGGTGAGACCAAAGCACAAAACCTTACTGTTCTGGTCGAGGTGCAGTTCTCGCAAGTAAGCCTCGGCACCGCACACAGCCCTGCTAGCAACACCAATGTTTGGTTTCTGCTTCGCATCGGCTCCCATGCGACCTGAGAGGACCTGAAGGCGTTTGAGGCGGCTGCCTTCGAGTCCCAGAAGATTCCGGAGGCACAGCTCCACTGCGTCGGAGAGCTTTCCTGCGTCCTCCCACGTTAGACGGACCCCCAACGATTCTTTTGTTTACTTCCCTGTGTCCCAGCAGAGCAGCTTGAGCCAGGTCGAGCCTCCGCCGTCCGTTTGCTGAGATCGGCCCTCCTTCGTGCCAGGGAGATGTCTCGGTGCTTGTGCCTGCCCATGCGGAGAAACAGGGGGCGTGCAACTGCGCCTGTCCTTCGCGCTGGACGCTCCAGGGTCGGATTCGACAACTGTCTTTCGTGCACCAATGTTGGTGGTTTCTGGGGGTGGGTCAGTCTAAGCAAAGCTTGAAGATTACTCTCAGTATCTAGGTATATGTAGGTCCAGGTCTATCCTACCTGTCCTCCGAATAAGCCTGAGTGCATCGTAATGTCGCAGTAGGGCAAGGCATTTTGCATTCCCCATGAAGCAGAACTTATCCCGGACCTGCCCGCCTTCGTTTCACAAGTATGCGCTAATGTCATCATCGTGGGTCTGAGAATGCCGCTGCAAAGAGGTACTTCGGTACAAAGTACAGCGCTAGCAAGTTTGCATAAAGAGCTTCAGTCTCAAACACATGCTAATGAGTTCGTATAGTCGATTCCTCTTCCACAGGTGTTGTTAATTGAAACCTGAACTAGTCACAATGCCTTGACGGCGCCTGATTTGTCTACGCCGGGCGAACTGCAGGACTTCCTGGAGGAGACCGCGGGAAACAAGTTCAGCAAGGAAGCGTGGGCCGGTGCCCTGGGCCTATGAAACAACGAAACCCCAACCCCAAGCTTCTCCGGGGAAATCTCTGCACTTCTGCACTTCGAAGGGTCGCCACGGTGTTGTGTGACGAGGTCGCTCCTGAGGTGGGAGACACCGTGACTGGCACGATCATGTACCTTGGAGAGGTGGGACGGTGGGACGAGCGAGTGTGGGCCCGTGGTCCGCTTTGTCATTTTGCTGTCGCAGGACGGCGCTTTTGTTGAGCTCGACTGCGGCGGTGTGAAGAGTTGGGCTCAGCTGCCCACAAGGTGCGGCCGGCGAAGATTGGACCAAGCAGGGAAGAGAGTCGTTGAGTCGTTGACAGGCTTGCTTCGCTAAAGCCCATTGCCAGCGTGAGCGAGGCGAGGCCTTGGCAGTTGCAGCAAAGTCTTGCAACCGCCCATTAGACTCGACTGCGGCCTCAGGTGGACTTGGAGGTTGGTGCAAAGATTGAGGCGGTTGTCGTGGAAAAAGGCAAAGTGTTGACGGTGTGTCAACTACTCTCCAACCACGCTATCATCACGTCCGCGTCCGCACCTGTTCCGCTTTCGGTGTAGAGATTTCACGCGGAAGATTTGACATCCCTGGTGCTCGGCGACCCCACAGCGGTGCAGTACATCGTGTTCCTTGACTGGGAAAGGCGGGCTCCCAACGTTTCAGCGTGCTGCTTTTTGTTAAGAGGTCGCTCTCCAACATTGAGCTTGATGCGGTCTGGAACAAGGCACCGATTCGTTCAGACAGGATGATACAACCTTGTGAAAATGCCGGACTCAAAGTGCTTCCGAGAAGGTGGAGCGCACGATGGCTGGAGAAGAAGGCACGTGCACTTGGAAGTCCATCTCACAGAACTTGAACTCCAAGACTTCTCTTTCAGGTTACGATCCTCTGTGGCAAGTTCAAGTGCTGCAGATGGCGTGGTGGCCCTAATGATGGCCCGGCAGTAATTTCCATGTTCCGAGCGCGATCAAGACAGCTTCTATCTGTTCCCGTGGGATCTCGTTTCCGTGAGGTGGAGTATGATTGGGTGGGCTCGTGTTGTTGCACGCACTCAAACCCTGAACAACAAACCCCGAAAGTATTGGAACCGCGCAAAACACGTGGCGGTGGAGTAGTCGGGCGGGGAGGGCACAGTGTTGTGGGGCGGCTGGAATCTCACGAACGGCCCCGTTTGAGGATTTGTTGTTTCCGATATTTCAGTCCTTCTGTTTCTGCGGAATACGCTGCGCATAAGTTCTGCACAGCCCTCGGCTTCTGGCAGCACGAGAACTTGCGAGAGCTAGACAGGCCCAAGTTCCGCAAGTGTGCAGAACTTGTTTTGTTTATGCAGAACCAGTTCTGCCTAGACTCAGCATGCAGAACTTGCCAGGAATTCCGAATACTTCCGCAGAAGTTCTGCATAGCACCCGGCTGGCAGCAGCACCAACCTGCGCTTCCGCATAACCCCGGTGATTGTAGCAGTTTGATCGGAGGGTGTGGTGACTGGAGGTGAAGGTTAGTTTTTGGTTAGGTAGGTAGAGTAGTTTCACTTGCATGCTGTTGTGTAGCACACGTGTGTGAGTAGGAACAAACAGCTGCGATCGCCGCAGCTACTGCTTCCCGATCGCCTTTCCGAATTCCTTTCCTCTTGCCTTTCGCCTCATCATGCGCCAGTGCCGTCGCCGGCAGCGTCGGCTGCGGCTGGCATGGACGTGGTGGGAAACACTACTCCGTCGCCGATTACATCTTCGACTGGCGCGGCCAGGGCCCAGGCGGGGCCCGAGGTGATTGGTGACGCCCATTCGGGCGATGAGGAAGAGGAGATCGTCGCGCTGGCCTTGTTGCCCAGGCCGGGCTTTGTGGCCGGGCACGTGGCTCAGCCGTCGGCCGCCGTTTTCGTCGGTGCCTACACTGGTGCCGCCCATTGAGGCGGACGATCAACGGGGCGTGCCAGTTCTGGGATGGGCAAGAGGCCGCCAATCGGCGGAGGCCCACGCCCACGTCGGGTGCCCGCGTCGCCTCTACCGTGCCCGTCCCAAAAATAACCGACCTGACCCCGCCGTCGATGACCATCGGCGGGGAGGTGCCAGAGGCGGCAGCCTTTCGACCTCCGCCGCCCACCTACTTGGTCGACTATCTGGTGGGGCTCCCGGCGGCACTGGCGAAGTCGAAAGGCCAAGCAGTGATAGCCTTGAGCAACGAGAAATCAGAATACTACGGGTTGAATAGCACCCCCAGCGCGGCGCTGGGCGAGCAAGCTATGATGGCCGATTGGAGCATCAAACTGCCCGTGACCGCAGCTAAGGAGGCTCCAACAGGAATAAGCATGGGATCCCGAACTGGGCTTGGACAGGCCAAGCACATAGACACCTGTTTCTTATGGGTGCAAGGGTGCGTTGACAACGCAAGAATCCGACTAAAGAAGGTCGGAACTGCCGAAATGTTGGCTGATCTGATGACAAGGCCGCTCGATGGAGGACCATGAGCAAGCTGCTTGATCTGGCCCTGAAGGCAAAAAAACCCAATGCGATTGAAGCAAGGAAGAACAATCCGTCTCCACTCGTGAAAGGAAAAGCGTGAGTGCCCTTCCACTCGGGAGGCGACTGGAGTTGAGGGTTAGTCTGGTTCGGTAGGTAGAGTAGTTTCACTTGCATGCTGGTGCATGTACAAAGTAGTTGACGACGTGGGTTTTGGTTCAAGTGCCTGCAGCTAAATCGAGATTCATGTGGACGTTCATTCCGGTTTCTTGTAGGCACTTTGGCAACTTTCCTTTCGGATGGGGGGTTGTTTTACGGAACCAAACGCACCGGTTACCGTACAAGTCTTTCTGAGATCGTTTGATAGTTAGTCAAGTTTGTCGCTTGTTTCAAGTTGCATCCTAGCTTCACCATACGCATGCCTCCCTTCGGAAAGACGGTTCGCGGTTTCAAAAACTAAAATGATACTAAAATGCATGTTCTTAAGCTACATTACTGCAGCGCAAACGCCACCACCCGTGTCGGGGATCTTAAGTCTTTTGTGTTAAGTTCGCTGTCGGGCCCTGCTGTATGGTGCTTCGCTATTTGCGTGAGTGACTCGTTACTATCCTCAGGATTTAGATCGCCGCATCTTCAATCCTCTATTCATTCCATTCATCCCGAATTGGGACTTCTTGTCTGTTGTAGGCTTTCCACCTTCCCTCGCCTAGCGACGTAGTTTCATGCGGGCGCCGGCCCCGCAGCTCAGCGACGCTCCGAAGCTCATCGATTCTGGGGTGTGTCGTGGGGAAGAAGCAGGGAGGCAATGCGTGTTTTCCGCAGAGTAGTTTCGGCCCAGGAACTGGGGTGCCCAGGTGATGACCGAGGACTGTTCTGACGTTCACGAGCCCACTCTCGTCCGCTTGTGGCTGAACAAGTTTTAAAATCTTCTCCGGTTGTGTCGAAAAAGTCTGGTGGACTAGATCCTGCATGTCATTTAGGAAAGAGAACATGTAGTGCGAGCAGCAAGTAATGCTAGCATCTACAGTTGAACATGCCATGCACATAGAACGCACACGAACGATTTGGAATTGCCAAATGAGGCACCAGCGAAAGCAGCGTGTCTTTCTCGTCGTAGGAGGGCCTCATTGGAATGATTCCTGTTCGTGATCTCGGTGACAAGGCCGTTCTGTGAGCTGGAGGGTGTGGGCGGGGGCCGGGCGACATCAGTCTTTCGCAGCATCTGCTTTGGAGGCTGGTGACCCAGGCATGGTGGGTGCAAACCTTACCGTGTCCATCCTTAGTGTGACGTGCGACCCTCAGTCCTCAGGTTTTCTGCAGAGAATGCATGCGGCCACTTGTTGCAGTTCACGCGTATGCCACGTCAGGCCGGAAAATCGTGAGAACACCAACCCGCAGGCACAGACAGGTTTTGTCCAAGTAGTGGAAATCAAACGCCCCGCAAAAGAATTGGCTTCCTGGGGTGCATCAAAGCTGCACAAGCGCGCGTAGTGATGTCCCAGGCCAATTTGCGAACCTTGCCTGCGTTGTCCGTTTCAGCACCTCTTATAGCATCGCTCCGCTCCAGTCGTGTCTTCCGTATTTGCAGCATCACTCTGTCTGGGCACAGAAATCCCACCCCTTACCTCTGCCTGGTTTGTCGAGGGTTTCCAGCTGGCGTTTGCTTCAGATGGTCAGTGACTATGCCATCACTTTCTCGTATGCGAGCGTCATGAAGAAGGCGCACCCTGCTGGCGGGCAATCCAGCATTCTATGGACGTGTGATGCCAGTCGAGACTCGAGACAGCTCTCGTGAGATCTGCAACGACAGGATGCTTAGCAGTTTGAAGCTCGATCGGAGAATAGGTTCCTGGACCTCCAATGAAATGTTGGAACCCTCTGAGTGATGCAGTGCCTGCTTTCCTCATCAGCGGGAGTTTCTTCGTTACATGCATGGGCATAGCGGCGAGTGGAGCATACGGTCACATTAGTAGCAAAAGGAGACATGTCCAAATACAAGTAAAATGCAACGGCACGCGAGGCAGCAAGCACTTGCCACCGAGGGAAAACAAAGCACTGGCATGGTTCCGGACACACCTCTAATCTGGGCCAGCGTCCGTTCAACGTGCAGCAAATGTGCTGAAATGTTCAGTCAGAAATTCGTGATGCAGGCTTTGCATGCGAGCGGAGGGTGTAGGATTCCAATTTATTGATGAATAATCTAGGGTCACTCGCACCTGATCCGGTCGAGATCATCCGCCTCAGGTCCACGACGTCACGGTAGTGCTTCTTAGTACATCCTTGAGTTTGAGTGGCTTTGACCTTCCTTTCAGGTTCTGGCCGAGAAGATCAACGAGGGCGATGCCGCTTTGGGCGCAAGTGTTTTGCTCTTCGGATCACTGGCAACTGCAACAGATCCCGCTGCAGTGATTGTTGATCGCGTTGATCTGCAGTTTGGGGAGTTCCATGCGGCCGCCTGAGATGGGAGCGGGAAACAAGGTCGTCGCGGCAAAGATCACAAACTTCTTGCCTGTGCAGCGCTTACACTAGTGTTCTGACTGACTTCAAGGCCTCATTGGGTTGAGGATTCGTGGCTGAAAGGGTATGAGTAAGGGAGCCGACAGTGTGCAGTGAAGCTACACCCCGTGGGCTGTTTGCGATCTCTTGAGTCTGCCATGCTATGCGATGAAGAAGTTTTGTTTGTCATGGTATGGTTCGGTGGAGCTGCCGCGAGCGTTCCAAGTCTTTGGCATGTATTCACTTCTTCCACGGTGTACGATGCACGCTACTCAACATTTCCGACTATTTGTTCGAGATGGCATACAAGGGCAGTGCACGAGGCCTCCATGGACATCGAGATCGAGGGCGTCCCGTTCACAGTCAACAAGGTGACCCATGACGATTCGTCGCAGACCATTTGTTCGATGTGTGGTGCAGCAGTCTTGCATTTGGTAGGTTAGCTTTATGGACGGACGGATCAACGCCGCAAGCGTCATGCAACTCGCAGTATCACCGTCGCAGGTTGACATCTCAAGGAATACCCGCTTCGATCCACAAGAACTCTTCGTGATCGACGAGGAAATTAAGGACAGGTGCTCAGACTTGTGACGAGCAGTTCGTGTCGGGCATAGTGGGCTGCGTCGAATTGCTGCCCTGCATGCCTGGCGATCGTTGTAGTAGTCGTAGCATTGCTTTCAGCGCTTTGAACAGAGCTGTTTGACTTTCACCTGGATGGAGCTAGTTCCATAAATTTTGAAGCCAAGGTGTACTGCGTGAGTTCTGACGCGGAGACCGGCTCTCTAAGGCATCTCGCCCGTTAAGAAAGGGTCTACCGCTCCTGGCTCCTGTCCTGTGCTCCCATTGGATGAGAGAGGCTTCACGGTTCAGCTTCGAGCTCAGGTCGGGAGGCGGGTCAGGTCGAAGGCTTCTAGACGCTCTTTCGGGTCACAGATGTGTGGGATGTAGACCGGACAGCGAGATTTGGTTTGCAGGAAGGGCAAGAACATGTTGTCGGTAGCACAACCTGAGACCTATGTACCTGTGAGTCGACGGCACTCCTGTCTGATTCGGTCCCGCTTAGCTGCAAGAGCACAAGAGATTATCACCCTTCCCCAGCTTTCGTCTGGCCCTCCTCAAGTTTCAGGGCTTCCACACTTCTTCAGCTTTCTCTCTTGCAACAAGGTTCTCATTGCGGGCATTGGAGCGACGTCCCGGGGCCCTCCTTCTGAACAAGCAGAAGGCCTGTCAAGATTTGTGTGCATAGTTGGGAGTACTGTCGCCGCTCGGACAGCCAGTGTTGTCATGGCATGTCAGTTGACCAGCAGCCATTCGTAGGCTTAATCTCCGACTTGACGGTGCTTGTGGCAGTTGCACAGTTGCCATGGGGATGCACCCAAAAAAAACGACGTCAGGTCTTTGATGAAGCGGAGGCCATGACGTCAGCTGGGAGAGTTTCCGGTAGTTTATGCTTGGCAGCCACACACGTGTGCAATCAAGCTTGGATAACGATGACATGTAAAATTTGCTTTACACAGTCTAAACCATATGATGAATGTTCATCACGGCATCCGAGTGAAACTGCAATGCAGTACGCAGACCCTACATCAGACGTGGTCACCGTAGAAGAACGAGGACGAAAATTAAGCCGTGCACTCGTCAATGTAGCCACGGCCCTGCACAGATGTCTTGGTAGAAATGTAGATTCCCAAGCAGCTGCACTGTGCCTTTGTACACGTTGTTGTATGTTGCATGCTCTACTCCTCGGCGGATGCAGATGCTCGCACGATTGAACGGTGGATGCAAGTGCTGTTATCAAGAGCGAATACTTGGAACTGCGAGGATGGTTTCAGGCAGTGGATACAGCAATATTGCTCTGGAGTCAAACTGGCAAGTGCTTCAAGCAACCCTATTGGCAGACATGCCGCTGCACACATTGTAGAAGCGAAGCTAGCCAAATGCCCTGCTGCCTCCAGTCCTGACATCCGACAACAGGAAACGGCGAAGCTTTTCTTCGAGAGACAGCAGATTGAGAAGCGCCCCAGTCATATTTGGGCTGACTTGATGCGAGCATCAGGGAAAGCCACAGCCGTGCTTGGATCACCACGATTAACCGCAGTGCCAGTGGTAGAATGTACTCGCTTGGCCAGGACCAAAATGACCGACCGATTGGAAAACATTTCAGAGGACTGCTGCGTTGCATGTAGTGCTGCTCAGATGCCACCAAAATCGATACATGGCCGCAGGATGGTGAAGCGCCAGCGCCAACTCCAACGACCACGGCAGGAATGCTAGACAGCATCTTGGGCGATGATGATGAGGTGTTCTGAGACCATGGTCACCAACCATGCGCCGGCGACAACGTGTAATTTAGAGATCATTGTAACAGCCATCACAATGCTTGAAACCAGTTGATTCCCCTGATCGCGCTGGCCCATGCTTCGGCAGCACCTGTCTCATTCTCATCTCTCGTCGATGTCGTGCTTCATCAGAAAAGTGAAGCGTGACTTCAGCAAAGCAGCTGTTTGTTCTTTCGTTTGGGAGCAACTTGATTTCGTTTTCTCGCAGTCAAGTCAGCTTTCAGGTCCTCTGCTGCACCGGCACACGTGCACCACAAACGAGCGAGGCTGAATCGAAACGAGAGTGGAGGTTGCACCCGTCGCATCTCTACCCAGATTTTGCAGACTTCGAACCAGATTCCACTCACTTTTTTTGCACTGTGTCGGCATTCAACCAGGCCTCAGGATTGGCCTTTCTCGTGTCTCTGGACCTTGTGTGCTGAACAGTTTGTACCTCGCAAAACTGCCCATCACGATCCCCTCAATACAATACTTCGTCCACGTCCACTGCGCGTCAAACATGTGTTTGGCACTGAGCATGAACAAGAATGCTAAGCATGTTTCTTGTTGTTCGTTTTGTGAGTTTGTTTGTCTCTTTCAGTCCGTCAATGTCTGCTTCCGTGGCTGATGTTCTGTGCGTTGGAACGCTAAGGATCTAGGATCTCGGGGTCGACTGTAATGTCAACACATTGCGGTGCAAGGAATCAATTTGGAAGGGTCGGCTCCTGGAAGGGTCGGCTCCAAAACATGCCAACTCCGTTGTTTAAATCAAGGGGATTACAGGTTCAAAGCGAGTCTAGTCAAGACTGGTGCGGGGGCCACATGTGCTAATGGAGCCCCGCTTCACGACTTTTGTATGTCGGATGTCCGAGTGTGGAGATCTTCCACCGCAAGGGCTTCTGGGTTTTCGCCGCCAATTTTTGCAGATCTGGCGAAACACAGAATGCATGAAACTGCAAGTGGTTGCCTTTATCCTCAGCTGCAGAATGTCGTGAAGCGGTGCAGTTTCCGGAGGTGCTTCTTATATGGCGGTTTCCATCCATGACAGCAAACTTTCTTTATTTGTCGAATGAGTGGCCAGTGAGCGCTCTCTGTCGGACTTTGATAAAGTTCTCTTGGCACGGGGGTTGGTGGTCGCTTAGTCCACCCGTGGTGAAATGAGGTTTCTTGCAAGCTTTTGCAGCGTCATGGTTGCGATGACCTGGAGTCAGCCCGTCCAGGATTCAATATATCGGAGGTTGATACCGCCGCTATGAAGTCATCCCTTTTACAACCGTCTCCAACACAAAGCGGAGCTGTACGGTTGTATGCACACGGTGGGCATCTTACTAGTGAGATTATCTCGAAGTTGGATGCTTCCAGGTCAACAAATTGCCTGAACTGTGATTCTGCAGATTCCCGTCATAACAGCGTTTTTGAGTTGCCGGGCATATGAACAATACACGTTGTCTACCAACACGTTTTTCCGATCGGTGAAAAGCCTGCCTGAAACAGCTTGGAGTCCTTGGGGATTTGCACTGACCCCGATGTCTGTTAATATTCTGCGCTGCACCGCCGGGGTGTAGTTTCACAGCAGCAATGCCGCTTTTGCCGATGGTTTTACATGTGGGTCTTGCTGTCCTGCCTGCACCAGACCAGGAGTTTAAACCATGTACTGGCAGTCACTGTGCACAGTGCGCCCGAGTGACCTTTGGGCATCCGGGATCCATCCCAAAATCTTCAGCTTTAGGGCTGCTTTGCTGCGTCCCAGGTGAAAGGCAACTGACGACCACATAGTCCCCAAAACCCGGTGGTTCGTTACGCTAAAGAAAATGCCCGTGGTTGCAACTAGTTACCATCGCTGATTTTCCAGACTGAAAAAGGAGCACAGTCAGCACCCACCAGGCCGGTGGTCGGTGTGCGTGGGAAAGGCAGGTCGCAACCAGTTGCCATCTGTGTTTCTCCAAGCATTTATGCCGCTTTTCGGAATCATTCCGTGCACTACGTTCTTGTCCCATTCGTATCCGAAAACATCGGTTAAGAGGCCCCAGAGCTCAGGAAGCCTTCGGGAAGCATTCCATGTACTGCCTTTGTGCTCGAAGCCACGAGTTGGAGGCCCGGAGCAGGAGACTGCCAAGAGAACGCCAGGCGAACACCAACTGAAACGGACCACCAAAAGACAACAGGGAGACCGCGAATCACGGATGACACCAGACGACCAGCAGGAGACCGCCAAGACACCGCCAGAGGTCTTTTGGTTTTCTGGTTCTCTCTGGTGTCCTGGTGGTCTCTTGCTGGTCTCTCGCTGGTCCCTCGCTGGTCTCTTGTGATCTCATGGTAGTCTCCTCCTGGTTGTCTCCTGATATCGTGGTGGTCCCTTGCATACCAGCAGTAGAGCAGCAGGAGACCGGCAGGACACTGCCAACATGTTTCCCCAAGTACCTCCGCATTGAGAACCACGCCCCGAATGCTTCCCCCAAGTACTGGTGGCATTAGAAGAGTTTGGAAACATGGCCTGAATTGCTTGCCTCCCAGTACTGGCGGCTCCAGCACGAAAGTGTTCTCCAAAAAGTAATGGTGCGCTTGGGAAGCACGAGACTTATGTTCCCGCCCCTTTAGCTTGTGGGATCCAGTAGAACACCCGCAATCCTTTCCCCAAAATGATCCATGCAGTATCATTTACAATCAATCCTAGCTCCGGGGAGCGTGCCTCCGGTAAATCCTCCACTGACAACAGCACCCCTGTGGAAAAGCGACGCGAGCATCGGGTGCAAATAACAGGAGTCGGGGCCACACGTGCTGTGAATATTTGTAAGTATTTGGACGAGGGGAGCCACTTTTGCGCGAACACATGCACAATGAATTCTGTCTACTCTGATCGTGAGAACCCTATAGTCCAGTGGCTGCACAAAGAGTAACAAAGGGAAAATGTAAGTAAGCAATTAAGTTAGTGAGTTTGTTTGCGTCTCTGTGTTTGTGTGGGTTCGGTAGGCCGCTCAGTTTCTTTGCTTTTGTTTGTGGCTCATGCTTCGTGACAACGGTTTGTCACAGAAAGTCGTGAAGTTCATGACATCAGAAGCCCCGCTACACACGAGAACAGGAGAAACACAACTCGAGGGCAGGAACTGGTTGGTCAAGTCGACATCTGCTTCGATACAACGAGCAGCAGAAAGGCAAGCACCTTGGTCAGTCAAGTGTGTGCAACAGGGTTGCATTCCCGCGCAGCGGCTGTGGAGCACGCTTGCTCCTGCCACCTTTCAGCCCATCATCGAACGCTGGTTTGCGAAAGGCGAGAGTGAATGGGGTTGGCAGTGGATGCACCGGGTGCGGTTTGACGATCCCGCATAGTCGACAAGATTCTGCTGGAGGTCATCGCTCCGTTGTGGCCCAAGGGATCCTACGCCCAGTGCCCTTAGAGCACCGAGCCCACCTCCGCGCCATGTCGTCGACGAAGAAGCAGTCGAAGGAGGGCGCCCCAGACTTCAGAGAGAGAGAGGGATTCACACCCTGTAGCAAGCAAGCAAGCACGCAAGGGGGTCTAATAAGCCTGGTGAAAGAGGGGGTCTCATGATGTTGCTGCTGAATCTGTCTTTTCTGAATGCTCATTATACTCAGTATAGTCGGGGAATACTGTTGCAAACTTGCTTGGTTGAAAACCTTGGCTTATATCAGCACACAGGCTATGTATGGTTGTACATGGGAGGGGAAGACCACGATGACCTATTGACAAAATTCGATAGTCAAGCAGTCAGGACACTGTTTCGGTCAAGATCGCTCCCTCTTTCTCAGCCCGGCGAAATACAAGAAAGAGAAGATTGCTGTGGGCAGCTGTACGTATGCATTCATCTGTGAAGAACCGCCCAGCCGGGGCGAACAAATGCCACCTCGACCGACGACGACAGCGAGAGGCGAAATCTGCTGACGTCACACCTTCCGAGACGGGAGAGCCTACGAGGGGGTTACCCTTCAAGCCGCGCGAAAAAAGAACGAGAGAGAGAGAGAGAGAGATAGAGAGATGCGTGCCTGCAACCGGAGTGTGCCTACCAGTCATTTGCAGTGTAGTGTTGAGTGTTGAGGTGTTGATGTCAGTGTTTCAGTTTCCGAACCTACGATAAGAGCGTGTCAGTCAGGAACTCACTTGTGGCAACAAGCAACAGGAGGGGCACAGGGCAATCGCAAAGAGGCTAGAGGCGGGGTTCTAGCTATACTAGCTCTAGTTCAGGCAGGTCATGACAGCCGTCAACCCAGTCCTCAGCCGATAATTCGCAGACCCAAACATCAGGGCGGAGGTTTGCGCAATGGGAGCCGGGGCTGCCTTCTCTTCTTTGACTGAGTGGAAGGAGGGAGGGAGAGAGAGCGAGAGAGAATGTACACCGCCAACAACGGGCAGCCCCATGGTGGGGGGCTTGCCCCTCATTCCTGGCGAAAGAAAGAGAAACACACTCCACTCCAAAACGGGGCGCTACCTAGCGCATGAGGGCGACCCCTCCCAAGCCCTTCAAAAAGAGAAAGAGACTGCCGTATCTGAGTCGGCTGCACAGAGAGGGAGCGAGAGAGAGAGAGAGAGACCCACACAACCGAACTCGGACAACGGCGTAGCGCATGCGTGCGGGGGTCTTGGGGTCATCCCCTTGACCCTACGCGCCTGGCAAGCAAGCAAGCAACAGAACTCCCTGGGCACACAGGGTCTTAGGCGTGTCCCCCTAGGCTCCAAGCTGCAGGGGGTTTTTCAAGTTGAACGATCGACAACACCACCACCAGCATCCACCTACGGGGCCTCCGGTGTAGTGTGTGGCGTTCCCCTATTCTGATAAACCTGGGCCCCCCTGCTTCCTCACCTGACTCACCGGAGCCCCGCCACAGCACCACTACCACCACCAGTGCGGGGGCCCATGAGTATGGTGTTTCCCCTATGGTCGTGTTTGAAACTTCCCCTGCTACGATGCTTCCCCCGGGGACCCGCACTGGCACAAACAACATAGGCTCCACCAAACCAACACAAAGACTAGCAGGAGAGCACAAAGCACCGTCACGAGCTGGAGATGTCATGTACTGTCACGCGTGTTTACTTGCCACCTGTACTCGTTTGCTAACCAGCTCGGCGACAACAGGAAAGCCGTAGAATACCTACGGACACAGTACAGACGCTTGAGTGCGCGGCCAGGCGGGGTCGGCAGTGCCCCACAAGCGCTAACAGGGGACTCGGGGGCATCATGGAAGAAACCTGGCCTGGCCGCTCGCAACAGCCCAAGTTTCACACCGAACTCGAACAGTGGCGTAGCGCTCGCGCGCAGGGGGAGTGGGGACCCGAGCCCCACCCCCCAAACGCCTTGCAAGCAAGCAAGCAAGAGAGAGAGAGACAACGGTTCACAAAACGCGGCCCTCAACCGGTTAACAGTTTCACTGCCAAGACCGCGGACCCGGTGCGCACACGTGCGCGGGAGGGGCTTCTGCTTCTCCTTGTCCGAGTGCAAGCTAGCAAGAGAGAGAGACAGAGACAGAGAGGGAGAGAGAGAGAGCTAGAAGAGTCAAACGCATTGTCGTCGTGTGCCCGAAGAAACACAGTAAAGCGAGAGATACGCAATGATGCGCATGATCTTCAACGAAATGGGGGCAGGGTGCGACTGCCAACCGCTTTCAGGCAGAAACATCGCTCGGTTTCATGTCGCGGGGTGTTCATGCAGCTTCACTCAACATCATTGTAGAAGTGATATCGAATTCGGAAGTGATGCTCTCTTGCATTCATGACTTGGCAGGCTTCCAAGAGTGCAGACTCCATCAATGCACGTCTGCAGCTGGTCATGAAGAGCGGCAAGTACAGCCTGGGGTCGCGAGCCTAGCACGAAGCAGAAAAGACAGCATCACCCTGTCGACATCCCGATGAAGTCATGAAGTGCACAAGAAACTGGGTCCCAGGTGACTGCATTCTTTGTACATGCTAGATTACGTAAATGAAGCCCAATTGATGCCTTCCCAAGATCTCCTCATTGAAAGCTTCTGGAGGTACAAGACCACCCTGAAGACTCTTCGTCAGGGAAAGGTTGGCACTGGGCTGGGCACCGGGGTTGCTTCTCCAGACTTGCGACAGGGCAGGTTGAAGATGTTGCATTTGCTTTATGAGATTGTCTTGTCCGTGCTTGCCGGTGTGGAATCTTGCGTTGTGACTGTCGTCATGAGTGGTCACGGTCGCACGATAGCCATCTGACGTGTTCAAAAACATTCCCTCGTTGGAGTCAGACTATCAACATCTATCAACAGCAAGAGTGCGCAAGACGTGTCCTGTCGAGCCTGCCGTCAGTCCAAGCTGGTGCTCATCTCCAACAACTGCCCTGCCTTGAGGCAGCCCTTTGCACTGCGAGTAAGGTCACGCAAGCCTCGGATGCACCTGAGCTTGTAGGTCTCACTTTCGAGTCTTCATACTTGTGTGAAACTTGAAGCTGATGTCGATGACGGCCACCTAGGATGTCACCGAACGAAGTTTCGTAGCCGCAGTGCAGACCTGGCCAGGAAGAGTGAGATCGAGTACTATGCCATGCTGGCAAAAACAGGAGGTTGCAGAGCATCTGTAGTGCAAACTAAGTGAAAGCTGTATCTGCGATGCAATGTCCGGTCTTTTGAAGACCATGCTGTTCGCTCTGTCAGCCCCGATCTTGCAGTCCACCACTTCCATGGTGACAACAACGAGCTGGGCACGGCTTGCGGTCGGTCGGGGCCTTCCAATCTCGCAGACACCGCTTCACAACGGCACTCACCCTTGAAGCGATGACATCAAAGTGCAGCAGGTACTACCGCGTGAGCTGCCTGTCCATCACCGATCCGGGCGACTCCGACATTATCCGCTCCCTGCGCGGAGACACAGAGTAGGAATCGGCAGGCAGTGAGGAGCAGATAGGAGCAGCAAGTGCCAGCGTGTGTCAGGCAAAAGAGTTGAAGTGTGTAGCAAAGTCACCTTCACCTGCCAAAAAGTCTATCTCTGCACAGCAGCAGATACAGCTGTCAGGCCCGGTCAAGAGTGAGGATGAGCTGGAGGCATCGTTGAAGAAGCATTCTTCTCAACTTTGTTGATTTGTTGTTTGCCTCTTTCACGCATGCATACGCGCGCCAAGACCTGTGCTGCACTGCCTCATCGCTCAGGATGGCGGAAGCGTGGAGTCGACGACACGGACGGACGGACGTATGGCACGGAGCAAAAGATTGTCGCTTAGGAATCGCGAATCTTATCGCTCGGTTTTGGATTCTGCTGAAGCAGTGCCCACTGGGCATCTGCAGTACTCATGCTGAAGTGTGTTGGAGGATCACAGCAGCCATCTAATACCAAGTAGCATCAACAGTTGCGTACTGAGACTCGAGCGTGCCGATGTTGCCAAACGGAACGCATTCTGACTGGGATGAGGCAGTAGCCTCATGTGCTGCCTTAGTTGTGCCATGATTTGGCAATGAGAAGATCACAGGCAGGAAACTCAGCAGGGGTCTGTGCACATGACATGCTCGTTTTCTACAGGTTGCCAGTTCAGGTGGAGTTGTCTTGATTTTCAAACTTTCACTGGAAGATAGGGGTGATAGGGGTGGCTCGGGAGGCTCCGCTTGTTTGAAGTTTGAAGCGCGAAGGTTCGAGGCACGGTGCGTCAGTGCGAAGCTCCGACACACACGGCGTCAGATCGTTAGGCGAATGACAGGCGTCAGAGCGTCACGTGAGGCGCAGTGCGTCAGAACTTCAAGAAAAGTTGCATATTTTGGAATCAAAGCTCCTGGTTTGGGTGCTGAATTCGGTAGCTTCAAGCGCGACCTGATGATGCCACCACATGCCCGAGTAACACTCGCCACGGTGTCCGAGAAACGCGCAGAGTGGCGCCACTGGACTGATGGTGAGACCTCACAGGGCCCGCCTGTCCTATCACCGCAGTATGAGCAAGCAGCGGTCACTGATCAAGAGTCAGCTTATCTGAACGGTTTTCGTGTCCTCCGATTCCGCAGTTGCACGAGCGGAGGAGATGTCGACGGTTTTTTCCGCATCACGGCGAACATCGCTTGCAAGAAGGTGCTTGCTCGTATTGCTCGCTGTCAGGTTGCAGAGAATGTGGTCAACGTTCGATCTGTGGAGCACAGGAGTGCAGCTTTGCAGATACTGTTGGCACTTGGATTGGGCGCGAGCTTTGCCATCCCGGTGCCCTCAAGGCGTGGGCAGTGGGCATGCTAGCTGCAGGTGCCCAGAGGTACATACATCCAACCTCACCCAACTTCCTACAGGTTTAGATCGTTTCGGTATCTCCCTGCCAGTCTCACGCTTGGCAGGCAGCCTCGGCATGCTGCTATTGCTGGTCATGCAAGTGGCTTCGCGGGGTGTCGGCCAAATCCTCCCGCACCGAACATCGCACGATCCAGCGCACCAGGAGTCTACCCTTTCTGGGTCCTCGAACCTCGGACTGCGAAGCTCCTTTCCGAGATGAGAAGTCCCGTGTACTGCGTGCTCCTCGAGAGCACAAGGACTGGTCCTTTCTGGGTCCGCAAGCGCTGCTGTGTGCAGCGGTCCTTTTCTTCTCCGGCGTCCTTTGCTCGGCGGCGGGCATTGGTGGAGGCCTGCCGTGCCATGTGATGGTCTCGGTGAGCTTGTGAGTGTACCGCGCCATTCGGAGCAAGTGAACTTTTGTTGGAGTGTCGAGACAAAGGCTGCATTAGCGTTGAGTTCGAAACTGTGCCGCCCGGGCCGTCGCATCATCTACATCAAGTATCCGCAACTAGCCGCACAAGCAGAGGGGCTCAGAAAGGCACAGGATGCTGGCGGTAGCTGCGTCGCAAGCCTGAAGCCTGTCGGTCGGGAGGAGCCAGGAATCGTATGGGGGAGCTTCTTCTGCCTGAGTTAGGGTGACACAGGGGCAAGTCCGCTGGGCAAATCTGGTGCGAGAGGCCTGCAGTGTACCTGCGCTTGAAATTGGCTCCACCTTGGCTGTCCAGGTGGCATTTATGTATCTTTGCTGATGGTCCTCGGTGGTCTGAGCACCCGCGATGCAGTGCCACTCTCCAAAGGAATTGCCGCAAAGCCGCATGGGTGGTAACCAGAGCTTTTGTGCCCTTGGGGCGCCGCCAGCAGAGCCCTCAGGTGTTTTTTGGATCAATGGCCTCCCTGGTGCTCAACATGCGTAGAGCTAACAAGAAGAACAAGGTCATCCATTATGGCAGGGGCCTTGTGCGAGTGACGAGCACTGAAGGGCGCACTCGAGTTCGTTCTCCGCCAAACCGAGGAATATGCCGGGTGGTGGTGCCTTCTGCGTTGGTCGGCACACTCTTCGGAGTGCTGAACCTGCCTCAGGTCCGACGGAGAGCCAGGAGTCATTCTTGAATGGGCCGTGCGAGGATAAACCACACGGCTGGGGACCGCCCCATCTTACTGTTCTTGATGAGCATCCTCACCTTCATGGCATACACGTTGGAACCTCAGCAGCCGCGTCGGCGCGTCGGTTTCTTGGTTCACCTGACGCTTGTTTGATTAACTCCACGCTTTCGTTTCGTTTCAATCCATTCCTGTCGTCCACTGTTGTTTTTCTTGACGTGTCCGTTCACCTCCTTGTCATGTTCGTTTTAATTTCACTCTTACTTTCTCTTTACCCTTGACGTCGTGTGCCAGCTGTGTTCGTCATCGTATTCGGCTTCGCAGTTCATCTCTACCTCACTTCACACTCATGCTTCATGTCTGTCCATCAGTGCGGTGCGCATAGGCTCGGCAGCATAGTGCTATTCATTATTAATAGACTTGCCATGTGCTCGCAAATGGCTGCATTTCTTTCGGAAGGTCAGTCCGGACGACGTGGCGTCAGGCCGTTGCCGAGTGGGGGCGCCTTTGCTGTTATGCGGAATGGACTCTTCGGGGCCTCAGCCTTGGAAGCTGCGCTTGTGCAAGTACCCAGGACCTCGACTGCAGCTGCTGCCAAGGAGGCGAAAGCTGACAGGGCGGCTTCAGCCGGCAGCCCTTGGCAGAAGAGCGACGTATTGGGAGGTTTGCACTGGTTCTGCAAGTCTATGCAAGGATGCTGTGTCGGAAAACTCGTGACCTTCATTGCAGGACTTGGCATGCTCTTGCTGGTTGTTGCGTGTGGTTCTGCAAGGTTCCATCTGCACAGCCCGCGTCACAGGATGTCGATTGATGAGGCCTGGGGTCTAGTTGTTTCGTCCCACGTCCGAGGCTGGCAAAACTTGTGCAACCACACGGCTTTGATCCAGAAGCTCCTACTGCTGGTTCCAATCTGTGTGCCCATCAAGCAAAGAGATCATTCTTGCATATCTTGCATTCGCAAGACCAGATGGAACTGCTAGATGGACTCGTGCGACACGGAAGAATCCGAGGTTTGCACGTCTGCGACACTATACAACAGCGACCCGGAAGCAACGAAGAGGGCAGAGAGCACACTAGCAAAGTGAAGACGATAAGATAGAAGACAAGGAACCCATGGAACGAGTGACCAACACCTCGTGCCTCTCGTAACTGTAAACGCTTCGGGTCGTCCGCCTCGGGCCTCGGCCCAGTCGCAGGTGCAGAGCCACAGGGAACGGTGTGGCTTTCCAATTTAGGGCTCAAGTGGGGGGGGGATCCTGATGACTTCTCAGACTTGTCTTCTGTGGCGACAGGGCTGCCCCGTTTTTGAACGACGTACTTCTGCGAAGGCAACATGTGCATTGGCGAGGAATGTCTGCTTCGTGAGGACGCGACTGCCTTGGAAGCAGCTATGTGCGATTAGGTGGTTCCCGGCTTGCAAGGATGCTATTGAGCTAGTCAGTTGTGCCTTGCAAGGTCGTGAAATATGCGCTCATGGCAGCATTCACTGGTTGCTTCTTGGCTCAGCTTTCGTCGCTATCCTGCTGAGGAGTCATGGATGCCTCTGGGGCCTTGGGCTGTGACGACAAAAGCTTTGGATGTAACGCCATGAGCCCAGGCTTTGCTGGGCTGGTGGGCATTGGAGGCCACGTGATGAAAGTCGTGGGGCAGCACGGAACTCAGCTGTGCGCAGGTGGGCTCATTTTCAGTCCCTTCTTCCTCCTGATGGGCATAGATCCGTCTGTGGCTGTTGCTACTTCTTCGACATGTGTCTTCGACTGCAAAGTGACAGACGATAGACGCAACACCCGCGAGCCTCCTGACGACGATACTAAGTGTTGCAGTGCACGAAGGTGTTATCTTCACGTCGGCCTCTACTACTTTTCAGTATCTTCTCACCGGGAGGATCATCATGTCGCTGGCTCTTTTCTATGGGGTCGCTCAGCTCGCAGCACAGCCAAGCAAGTCCCCAGGATCGGCGATCTCGCCAACAGCGTAGTGTGTGCAGTCGCATCCAAGGTTTGCAATCTTGCTGCCTCTTACTGCGGTACCTCGCTGGTCCTCTTTCTGCAGGAGAGGTTCCCAGGTCGGCGATCCATCGTGTCGGGTATTGCCCCTGGCCCAGAGTCTTCTGTTCACCATCTTATGTTGGCTGCGCCGATTTCGTATACAAAACTGAGGTGACATTTGCGGTTCTGCTTAGCGCGGGGCTGGTGGCCGCGAAGATTGTGACGATGTAGTGACGAAGCACTGGTTACCGGTCGTGGTATGTCGTGGTCGCAGATGGCAGCCGGCTGAACTTCATTGAGATCATGCTGGCGAGCGCGCTGAACTCCGAACCCGGACGCTGAGGGCTTGCAAGGACCGGTGACGGGTGGTTGGAGGAGGCCAAGCACACTTACCTTCGTCGAGCAGGCAAACATGGCTCATGGCACGCTGAGGGCAACGTATCCCTCCGCTCCTCTCCATCGCAGAGACGACAGAGCCGACAGGAAAGTGACTTTCGCAACTGCCCCTGAAGTCTGACTGTCACCGCTATGCGTAGACTCAAGTTTGTGCTTTTGCAAATCTGGGCTCGAGGAGTCCATGCCTGGAGTCCTGAAGTACACAGCATGATCTGACCCGAGCCACAAAGCGCACTCAGCGCGCCGAGAACGAGCCCCGCCCCGCCCCCCTTCTGCGTCAGAAGAAGCCCAAGTCCAAGCTTCA